AGCTCTTACTATCTGAGCCTTGATTCACTTCTGCTATTAACTTTTGTGAACTCAGTCGGACATACCCGAAGTGCAAGGTACCGAACTGTTTATCACGTGTTGGTAGTCACATGAAACTTGGGCTTAACAAACACCTCACTTGTCAACAATGCCATTTTTGATGCTGCATTCAAGCTTGCATGTGCACATTATCAGGGATGCCATTCAGTTCCTGCCTGACTTTGGTCACCCATCCCACATCTGTCTTACACTTCCTGTATCAAAGACTGACCTCTTTAGAAAAGGTGTCACAGTCTTGATTGCTACTGCATCCAAAATCTTCTACATGTGCAGTGTCAGCTTTGAAGAATCTTTTTGCAGTCCATCCTCTAGATGGCCAAGCTCCACTGTTTGCAGATCTGGATGGAAATCCACTCCATTGTAATACATTTATGCACACTTTGAAGGACCATCTTGCTGGACTCATCCAGTTCCTCTGATCATAATTTTTAGTGTGAGGCTGCATCATCAGCTGCTCTAGCTGGGATTTCTGACTATGAGATTCAGTTGTTAAGAAGATAGCATAGCAATGCCTACAAACTCTATATTGATGTTCCTTGTGACTATATCCTCTATCTGTCTGCTTGACTTCATGTGGCCATGCCTCTTGCTCTCTCTCCAAATCTACTGGATTTCTGTTTTGCACCTATGATGGCTTGAGCATGGCTTCCCTTGGGGGCCCATCATGAGAGAGCTTTAGCATCCAAACAAAGACTTATTTTGTCCCCAACCTCTCACTCCTGAGAATGCTCCTAATCCACTGCCACTCTTCACATCCTCTCAACTCCCAGAATAAGCATAGACCATCAGTTGCCATTGCTGATTCTCTCTCTTAGACCTAGTGATATGGTTTCACTGCTATAGAAGCATCTGGTAAAATCCTGAATTCAATGCTGACATCCAGGCCTCTGATTGAGTTAGACCTCACAGCCAAGGTCATTGCTTGGTGGGTTCCTGCTACCATCTTATCAAAATCAACATCTCATGTAGGAGATTCATACTGGCATCCATGCTAGTACTTGTTAATCTTTTCCTTTCTCTACTGCAGTGATTCCTGAGAGATACAAGAGCCATTCAAATGATGGTGAAAAGATTGAGGAGGAGAGTAACTTTGCAGGAATGGAAAACTAGGATCTTCAAGGTGTGGAAGGTGAACAGTAGTCTGCAAATATTTGGTAAGTCTTACAATATTTGTCTGCTCACTCAAACTGTTTATGTTACCTGTGCTTTATTGTCTTGAAGTGGTTTCTTGTTATTATGATCAGTGAATTCATCAAATACATACATCCACTGCAGAAAAATGTGATTATATGGGAATTTCCTTCAGATAGTCCATGGTGGGGTTATCTTCAGCCTCCACAGGAAATATAACATTTTCACTCATCCATCCTGCTACCCAGTGACATGGATGAACAATTTGTTAATAACTTGAACAAGAATAATGGGCACTAGTTTGATGTGGTGTAAAATATTCACTTATCATTCCCTAACTTTGCAGGAATGGAAAAGCAGTATCTTGTTTAGGAGCCTCCAGACAAAGAAGATGAACACTAGTCTGCAATATTTTGTGAGTATTATAACATTCCTCAGCTTACTCAAGTCCAGAAGAAAGAATGCTCTATAGTGATTGCCAGGCTGATAGAGGTGACACTGCTTGCTCCACAGAGAGAGAGCAGATATGCACTTTTAGAAAAGTTGGTATGGGCTTCAAGAGACTGAGAGTGGCAACAATGCTCTGGATCATAATGACCCTGGCCCTGGACAACATATGTACTTATTGATGTGTTTGGTTTCACAGCTTGAATGCCACATATCTCATTTATATTTAATATGCTCATTTGCTTTACTTTTATCTTTTGATGTTGTATATCTTTATCTTCCTTCAAATCTAGGACACTCCATTCCCTGACCATCAGTGCACATACCTGTGAAGAGACTTTCACATTACCCAGCCAGACCATAACTATTATCAGAGGAAAATTCCCATCACCAGACTGGACTGCAATGATGGGGATTTTTTCTACTGATGAAATAGAAGAAGTACACTGTATGATACATACATATTACACTTCTCATTTTTGCCAGTGTTATGATTTTTCCTCTTTTTCCCTCTTTTCATATCACAAACCCCTATTTATGCTTAGTCAGAGTATCAAGGACAAGTGCTTAGAACCATGAGAAGGCTTGGTCATCATAACAAACTGACTTCACCATGGTTTCTCAATGCAACTAACATCAAAAGACAAATGCACAATTGGCCTTTTATATATGGTAGTGATGCCCAAGGACAATGGGCCCTCAGGACAGAGAAACACACAATTAGTACATAGTATTATTAGCAGGACATGTACCATATTTAAGGAGGACAGCTCTCACTCGTAATCCCCAGCTTCAAGCTAAAGTTTATTCATACCATTTCATCCTCAAGCTAAGCCTTCAGCCTTGTGACACATCAATGTGGAATCACATCAGTGAACTCAGATGACTATCCAAAGTGCAAGGTAGCTTCTGTTTATCACATGGTTTAGCTCATATGACACTTGGGTCTAACAATTAGCTCAAAGCTGTCTACTTCCCTTTCTCAAGCCTAATTGTGCTGAGAAACCAAATGCCCCCCTCTAGTAATGACAACCTGAATTTTGACCATGAGTTCTTTGAACTCCTCTCTTCCATCATCAGAACACTGATTGGTTTATTGATGATCATCCAGCTGTGCCAGAGATGCCATTCTATTACCACCTGAGCCATCAGACACTATCAAGAATTTCAAAACATCCAACATATTCTACACAACATAACCCCTGACCCCTCTCTCCATGACATCTCTGAATCCTGATGAACAATCTACCAGCCTCTAGAAGCTGAACCTAGCAGCATGCATCAGGGGAATGGTCAAGAAGAAGAGAGAAGACAGTACTTCTCTGGACCCAGAGACTGGGACCATAGCATCCCAAGAAGGTATGGAATCCTTATACCAGAAAACCCCCCTGAGGCCCAGGACCTCCCAGAGAACTTCTTTCAGCACTCCCCCTCCTCCTCTTCTGCCTCCCAGACCCATGGGATTGCCAATCATGCCTAGGACTCTCTTGATGCCCCTCAGATGGCTCCAAGATCCCATGCACCAACATCTGGCAGCCAGCCTCATAGCTCCTGTTCCCCCACAGCCATCAATGCCTGGATGGGAGAAGACATTGCCAACTAGCCTGATGATGGACAAAGATGACAGGAACAATGGGAAGAAACCATGTGCTGGTACTTCCCAACCTGAGACTTTACTGTTCCCTTTGACTATAATGAAGCTGTCCAACAAGAAGAGCATAGGCAGCGGAATGAGCTGCAGCTAGTATGCTGCAAGTCTAAAGGCAGAATCATGGCAGAGGAGTCTCAGAGGAGAGTGGCTGCTGAGTATGATGAGCAGAACAGGGACCACCAGTGAGAAGTGGAGAGAGATAGACTGGCCAGGGCTGACATCTCCAACTGGTATGGGCTCCAACCAGAAGTTGCTAGTGTACTCACACTGGTATGAGCAGACCCCTCTCTCTCCACTCCCATCTTCAGAGAACCCAGCACTTTATGAAGCAGGACCCCTGAGTACTGGGCCAATGGTACCTGCACCAGGAGAGGACACAGACCTCCAACTCTGCAATATCCCCCTCCCCAATGAACCTCCAGTGCTGACTCTGTATTTGGAAGCAATGAGTCCATCCTCAGACATTATGGACTCTGAGTCCCTGGAAATGCCCACATCTCTGCCCACACACTCTGAGGATTTCTCAGAAGTAGAGTCATTGGACAGCTTATCAACAATAACTATCAGCAGAACATCTGCCTCTATCATGAGTGAGTGGAGGCAGTGAGAGCAACTTGAGGGAACCAGTATGACTCCAACATCAGTAGCTGACCCACTGCTGTCTATGAAAATACACCAGGTCCTGCAACTGCTAGTCCAAGCACCCAGCCAGGGCAGCAAGGTGATGATACAGCTAGGAAAGGCTGGGAGTTTCTATGACCTGCCCACCATTTCCCTCTTCAAGGAGGAAGGGGATGATGAGGACACAGAGGAAACTGAAAGCAGCAACCCACCCCACCCTGGCAGAGGATTCATGTATGAAACAACAGATGAAGAAGAACTGGAGCAGGAGATAAAGAAGGTGAGGACACAGGAGTATCAGGAGCACTAGCTGCAGGGAGTGAACTTCTTATGGCATGATGCTACTTGAGTAGCATCACAATTAGGACAATTATATCTTCATTCTACTACTGATGAGTGAACAGAGATCCTAAAGTATGCAGTGACAGACTATGCTGCAACCCAATATAACAGAAGACACCCTGAAGACCAAGTTCCAAGACCACTGGCATATCAGGCACTGGAACTCATATGCCCCCTGCTGCCGTCTCCAGCCATAACCCCAAAATGAGCCATATACACAGCTCCAACAATCCAGAGCACTCTTTCATACTCCATCTCTTCATTCCAGTCAATGGCAACTTGGCTATTCTGATTACAACCATGGTGGAAGGAAAGGCCAATTGGATACTGAAATCCCTAGACCAGCAAGGGGTGCAGACTTTTAGAGGTGCAGCCTCCACCTGATGAAGCCATGGGGAGTAACACTGGGAAGAAACTGATCTGAGATGACCCAGAGGCAGTTCAATTAGGTTTCATGATTCAGGATGGAGTCATCATCTAGAAGGAGGAACTACCCCATGGGAGCCCTGTCACCAATGACAACTCACTCCATTCCTTCCCAGGACCCCTGCATGAGTGGCACTGACCCCCATTCTCTAATTGGCCCAATCTGATGGGCACATTACCCCATGATGCAGCCATCCTACAATGCCATCCTGATCTTTTATGGAAGCCCCACCCCTTCAAAGGGGTGTCCAACAACATCAACTGATTTATCATCGACTGCAAACAGTACTTTGAAGTCTATATTGGGTACCTGGGCACCAATATGAACAAGGTCATCTTTGCAGCCTCTTATCTTGAGGAGAAGGCCAAGAACTGGTGGATCCTCATTTCCCCCAACTTCCAATCATCAACTTGGGAACACTATCAATACCCCTCATGGCCAGTGTTTAAACAAATGCTGCATGACAAGTTCATTGACCCAGTGGTACAGGGGGTACATAAACAAAAGATCAAGGAATATAAGATGAGAGACAAGGCCACCACTGACTACTTTGATGAGTTGGAACATCTTGCGAAGCTCGCCAGATTTAGAGAGGATATAGCAAATGATGGAAGGATGGTTGAAGCCCTCAAGCAAGGAGTCCCTCCTTCATACATCATGATGATCTCAGTGATCAGTGTCAGAATCCTGATGCTGAATGGATATGATAAGTGGAAGGAATGGATCACTGAGATGTACAAGGAATGACAAAGACAGAAAGCAGAATCCATGATCCTGCAAGAGTATCCCAAGAAGTCGACACCACCAATGCCAAGTAAAAACTTGGGGACAACTGCCAGGAAATCACCAGAATCCTCTACAGCCCCTAGTTACAGCACTCAAAAAACTGGGACTGGAACAACATACACTGGGGTGGGAAAACCAATGGACATTGACCACATGAAGAAAGAAGGAAAGTGTTTCAACTGCAGACAAAAGGGTCACATGGCCAAGAACTGTCCAAAAAAAAAATGAACCTGGGAAGACATCCATGTGCAGATTGCCAATTTACAAAAAGAAGAAGAGCTTGGTGCAGAAACCAAGGTGGAAGAAGTAAAAGATGGGGCCAGTCAGTGAGTGATTCTGCTGAACTGGCCAAAGGACTTCATGGTGTGCAATCCTCAGCCACTAGTCAGACTAATAGTATCTCTGTAGCTACCTCTATGCCTACTACACATTCAAATATACCATGGACTGTTGAAATGCACACCAGAGAATCACAAAATAAGACTCAAACACCTTTGGGCCAAACAGGGACAGAGGGCCCCACTACTTGGCTAAAACCATTTGACACAGAATGGACTTGGAGGGCAATCAAGGACACCAAAAACAAGGCAGCAGCAAAAGCTGTGCTAAAGAATTGGGTCCATTGGACTAGAGTCAAAGAGGTGATCAATGAAGTGATAGAAGGGATGAAAGGAGCAGAATGGTGCCAGGCCCTGGAATGGCTCGATGAACTCTGGGGGCCACAAAAGTTCATCTGGCAAACCAAAACAGCCAGATGAGACTTAATCACCAAGGTGCAGATCAAGACTCTCACATCTCAATCCACCCATATGGTGACCACCCTGATCGACAGTGGGTGCACCAGGAGCTCTATTAACTGCACTTTCATCAATAAGCATCAGCTCCCAACCCAGGCCACAGCAGCCCTGATCCTAGTCTACAACACTGATGGAACAAAGAACCAAGCTAGCTCAATTACTGAATTCGTGGAACTGAGACTTACAATCAGCAACCATTCAGAACAAATCGACCTAGCCATCATGGATCTCAGGACCAAGGAAATCTTCCTTGATCATGACTGGCTCATATGTCATAACCTGTTAATCAACTGGAAAACTGGGTGAATCATGTTCATCAGGTGCCAGTGTTGAAAAATTCCATTCAAGCTCCCTGATGAAGACCCTGAGGATCAGTGAGATGAAGAAATGGAGGATGGAGAAATGATTCTTGCCATAGATCTGCAGCAAGAACTGCACATTCATGCAATGCACCATGCTAATGATTTAGCCACCAAAGCCAACAAATGAAGAGAAGAGAAAACTTTCAAAGAAATAGTGCCTGACTGGGCATGTGACTTCAAGGACCTGTTTGAAAAGGAGAGTTTTGATGAGCTGCTGAAACCCAAACCTTGGGACCATGCAATCAAGCTCACCCTGAATGCTAATGCCAACTTGGACTGCAAGACATATCTGCTTGGCAACAACAAACAACAGGAACTCAACAAGTTCCTGGATGAAAACCTATCCAGTGGATGCATCAGACCATCCAAATCTCCTATGGCCTCACCATTCTTCTTTGTCAAAAAGAAGGATGGTAAGCTCAGACCAGTCCAAGACTACTGGAAGCTCAATGAAATGACCATTAAAAACTGGTACCCCCTCCCACTGATCTCAGAACTAATGGACAAGCTCTGGGGCACCAAATACTATATGATGCTCAATGTCCAATGGAGATACAATAATGTCTGCATCAGAGAGGGAGATGAGTGGAAGATGGCATTCAGAACAAACCAAGGGTTGTTTGAGCCAACAGTCATGTTTTTTGGACTCACCAACTCCCCAGCTACCTTTCAATGGATGATGAATGACATATTCAGAGATCTCATCACCACCAGAAAAGTCACTATCTATCTTGATGATATCCTGATTATGTCCAAGACAAAGGAGGAACACCAGAAGCTAGTGTGACAAGTACTAGCCCTCATGAGGAAACACAAATTATTCCTCAAAGCTGAAAAATGCGAGTTTGAGGTCCTCGAAACAGAGTACCTAGGGGTCATCATCTCTGAAGGGAGCATTTGGATGGATTCCATCAAGGTTGCAGGAGTAACAGAATGGCTGGAACTGACCAGAAAAAAGGAGCTACAATCATTTCTCAGATTCACAAATTTCTACCAATGCTTCATCTGGGATTATAGCAAAGTAGTTCACCCAATGACACAGCTTACTGGCAATGCCCCCTGGACATGGGGACTTTCCCAACAGACTGCCTTTAATGATCTGAAATGATGACTAGCTGAAGACATTGTACTCACCATTCCCACACAAGAAGGGAAGTTTTGAGTCAAGGCAGACTCAAGCAAGGGGGCTATTGGGGCTGTATTATCACAAGAGCAAAATGACAAATGGTGACCAGTTGCATTTCTGTCAAAGGCACTTACAGTCACAGAACAGAACTACAAAATATACAACAAGGAACTCCTTGCCATCATGCTCACCCTCAAAGAATGGTGACATTATCTGATTGGAGCAATCAAAACCTTTGAAATCTGGACTGATCACCAGAACCTCCAGTATTTCCAACAGCCCCAGAAGCTGAACTGCTGGCAAGCAAGATGGGTCATGGAATTAAGCCAGTACCAATATACACTGCATCACAAAGCCAGTACTGCCAATGAAAAGGCAGATCCACTTAGCAGGAGAGCAGATCATAACCAGAGGGGAACCGACAATGAAGGAGTAACATTGTTATGACCCAAACACTTCCAGGCCATGATAATGCCAACAGAGGAGGAGATTCATGAGCACATAAAAAGCATGACTCAGGACAGTCATAAATGAGACCAACTAGTGGCCCCTTCTCTCAATCACAAATGAGGAATGACAAAGGAAGAGGGTCTGATCTGCTATGATGGATGGATCTACATCCCTAGGGATTGTGGCCTATGAGGTGAAATCATTGCCACTTGCCATGACCATGCTACAGCAGAGCATCCCAGCATAGCTAAGACCAAAGAGCTAGTACTGTGGGAATACTCTTGGCCCAAAATGGGCAATGACATTACCATGTACATTAAGGCATGTGAGGTTTTCCAATGAGGAAAGTCATCATCACAAGCCTGACCTGCCCCCCTACACCTGAACAAAGTCCCATCCTCACCATAGACTCATATATCCATGGATATGATCACAGGGTTGCTGGACTGCAACAGGTATGACACTATCATTGTCATCATTGATCGGTTCTCAAAAGTGATCATTCTGATTGTCTGCTTGACCGAATTGACTTCAGAAGGATGGGCAAAGATCCTACATGATGAAGTCTATGCAAAATATGAAATGCCACAAGTCATCATTTCAGACTGAGGACTGCAATTTGTCTCCAAATTCCTAAACAACCTGTATTGACTCCTACACATCAAACGCAATGCATTGACTGCTTATCAGCCACAAACTGATGGGCAAATGGAGCATGTCAACCAGGAGATCAAGAAGTACCTCTGACTCTTCATTAACTATCGACAAGACAATTGGGTTGAATGGTTAGCCCTTGCAGGTTTCCAACACAATAACTGAGTATATTCAGCAACAGGGAAGATGCTGTTCTTCATTAACTATGGATGTCACCCAAATGTCACTCAGACAGAACAACATTGGATGACCATGCCTGCTTCCACAGACTTTGCCTCAACCATGGGAAAGATCCATAGCAAAACCAAAGTAGCATTGGAAAAGGTGGCCTCTTCCATGAAAGTGCAATATGACAAATATCACCATCCAGCACATACCTACACCATCAATGACAAGGTATGGCTTAATACCATGAACCTCCATCTACCTTGACCAAAATGAAAGCTCACCAATAAATGCATGGGCCCCTTTCACATCCTTTTGAAAGTCAGGGCAAGCACTTATAAATTGCATCTATCAATGACCTGGAAGGTTCACAACATCTTTAATGAAGCACTCCTGACACCTTATATCGCACTGGCATTCCCTAACCAGGACAAACCACCACCCCCACTGCCAGACCTGATTGATGACAAGGAGCACTATAAAATCAATCAAGTCCTGAATCACAAACTATGAAAAATCAAGGTGAAAGGCAGGGGAACAACAACAACAGTGGATTACCTGATCAGCTGGAAGGGATATAGCCTGGAGTCAAATCAATGAGTCAACAAAAAACTAATGAATGCAGCAGAGGCAATATGTGACTACAAATTATCTCTAAATTAAGCCATCAGGATGATGGTCTTAAGGAGAGGGTAATGTTATGATTTTTCCTCTTTTTCCCTCTTTTCATATCACAAACCCCTATTTATGCTTAGTCAGGGCATCAAGGACAAGTGCTTAGAACCATGAGAAGGCTTGGTCATCATAACAAACTGACTTCACCATGGTTTCTCAATGCAACTAACATCAAAAGACAAATGCACAATTGGCCTTTTATATATGGTAGTGATGCCCAAGGACAATGGGCCCTCAGGACAGAGAAACACACAATTAGTACATAGTATTATTAGCAGGACATGTACCATATTTAAGGAGGACAGCTCTCACTCGTAATCCCCAGCTTCAAGCTAAAGTTTATTCATACCATTTCATCCTCAAGCTAAGCCTTCAGCCTTGTGACACATCAATGTGGAATCACATCAGTGAACTCAGATGACTATCCAAAGTGCAAGGTAGCTTCTGTTTATCACATGGTTTAGCTCACATGACACTTGGGTCTAACAGCCAGCCATGCAGTGATTCATACTTCATACTCATGTACATGCTTGATTTCAAACCTATGAGTGTCTACTTTGTTCAGATTACTAATTATCATGAGTTTGGCAGAATTTCAGCTTGCTTTTTGATTTTCAGCAAGTTATATATAGTACATTTTATTCTTGTGAAACTGCACCTGTGAATGTAGGTATTTAGGCTTAGGAGCTGATATGATATAAGCAAAACAACAAGGTGGAATGAACTGATGTAGCAGAAGGCACTCAATGATTGGAACTCACATGGCATAAAGCAATATCAAGAAAGCCACCTGCAAATGACCTCAATACTTGAACTGACTCTATGCTCATTTTTGCATATTAAGTCTGAATAATCTATTGTGTTCAATTATGAAGTTCACCTGTGAAACTGATGGAGTCTGTGGGGCTGCATTAGCTTTGACCTTTCCACTTGAGATCACATCCTCAATCTTATTCTTCTCTGTGATGACTCTGGAATTTCTGACTGAGTATTCAACTTACCTGTTGGTGCAGTCAAAATAGATTTTATCTTCCTGCCAAGCAAAGAGGTTGGCATTGAAGGAGACAAGAGGACCTCTGAGGGTAGAGGATTTGAGTCATTGAAGTCAAGGAGATCATCAAGAGGTTGTGAATCACTGGTGCTAGCAGTCCTCCTATAGCTTTCTATCTCATTGTTGCTAATTGATTCATTAGCATCTGGTGTCAAGATAATATTGTTGGAGAGTGCAGTCATGGCAGTGATTCTAGGCTCTGGCAGCAGCAGAACTGTAAGTATAGAGAGAGGGATGTCAGTATCAGGACTTGGAGGAGGAGATAATGGGGCAGAGGGCTGAGATTCACTTTGAGTGGATTGTGCATTACCCTTCTTAATGGTATTCTGCAGTGCACTGGGTGCTGGCTTTATGATAGGCTTGGACTTGGGCTTTCACTGAGTATTCAATGGTCCAGCCTTTGACAATCCAGCCTCATCTATAGATCCTCTCTGCATCATCTTCTGTACCTCCTTGGCAGCAGGAGCTCTCTCCTTGTTGCCATCCTCTGTCACCTTCTTTGGCACTTTATGACAATGGTGGGATTCATCAATGACATCTGCTTCCTTTGTTTTCACTATTTTCTTGCTAGTCATCTTGCATTTTTCAGCAGAAGGATCTTCAGTGGTGCTTTTTTGGTGGCTGTCATTGTTGTTGTTGTCACTTTCTCTATCAGCTGCAGCAGGAACATCTGCTGGTACATCACAATTGTACAGCAGCTGAAAAGCCTCTGCAAAAATATGAATAAACTATTATTATTCCAAAGTAAAAGGAACTCACTTCTGTTTTGACAGACATTAAAATCAGGCTTCTTAAACAAGTAGTGAAGCTGCTGGGCTTTTGCACCTGAGTGTTGAGCTATCAAGACATCAATAGTTCCATTACAATAAGGCAAAAGACATAAACAGTTTCCTTTTGCTCATGATGATAGGCACAACTAATCATCTGTTCTTTTTGGATGGCAGTCCAACCAACTAATCACAATCTCCAACTTCAGTGCTGAATTCACACCATGAAGATTGACCTTTGGATGAACAGCAGCATCACTCAGAGACACACCAACATGCAATTGGCAATGTTCAAGTTGGATATGATGAAATGCATAAGGGTGAAAGAGCAAGAGATCAGAGTGCAGTTGGAGTATATGCTGATGGACTGGCTACTATTGTAAGTGCCATATACAACTGTAATGATCTGATTAATTTTAGATCAGAGAGCTGAAGTATGAGTCTGATCTTCATCAGACAATCTGGGGATTGAGTGCAGGAGTCAGAGTCTGAGCCATTCACAACACAGTCAGCAGTAGTAGTGATCATTCTCTCTGTAGGCAAATGCAATGGGAGGATAAAGTGGATGAACAATTACCAGGTATAAACTCCTGGGGCTGAGGGATGAGATGCTATAATGTGAGTTCTGTCATTCTATGAAATTACCTCTGTTATTTTGCAGGAGCATAGAATGCTTCATTTTAATAACACAATCCTATCCATTCATTTCTTATTTCTTGATGATCACCACTCTTTTTGTACTCAGCATTGTTATATTCCTGTAGCATACATGCTGACCATATATCTTGACAGCATAGACTTTCATACAATACCAAACTATGGTCATTCCTATATCTAGTGTACATTTATTCCAAAAATATAAAATAGATCTGTAGCATATGGAATCTTATTCTCAGCCCAATATTTATTAATGAGGGCCATATTCTGCTCTGCATGTGAAAATTGGTGATGTACCACAGATGGGATGCACTCCCTACACAATTGAGAAAGATCAGAATGGGCATAGTTAGAGGATTAGTCATGTACCATGAATGGGGTGTGCTCTCTATGCAGAATCTAAAACACCAGAATGGCTATAATTAGAGAATCAGTCATGTACTGTAGATGGGATACATTCTCTGGGTAAACAGGATGAGGTGCAGATGGACTGCTTCATTTGTCTTTGATCCTCCTGATTAAATGCCTGAGGAGATCTTGTTCAAGCCAGGTTGCCATATTCGATGGGGAAGTTACTCAGGGGTGTCTCATTAGTTTCAGGTTTACTGTTTAGCATGGTTCAAAAAGCTGTCCAGAAATCATACCATGGCTCTCTACACACATTCCTCATCAAAGGTGTGATCATAGACAATGAAGCCTGTGCTTCTCAAGGTCATTGAGCCATTTATAACTGACCTCAAGAACTAGATACCATCAGTGTACATGCCTTTAAGGAGACAAATGCAATTGGGTATATAAGAGAAATGCAAGAGAATCCGCATATGTGGAGAAAAAGGTAAGAAAACCTTACTGGGTGGATGAATGCCAGTAAGCATATATACATGAATGAAATGAGTGACGTTAGAGAAGATTGCTGTGATATAATGAACAGAGAGCCATGGAAGATATGGATCATCCCCCCGATATCTTTATATCAGTGACATTTCATCAGTACAGTGAGTCTGCATTGGCTTTCTTGAAGTTAAAGAACAGCTTATCATCATCACTGTCAGTGATAAGAAAGTCCTGTCCCATAGGCAAGGATCTCGAGAGTCTCTGCTCCTTGTGTAGAATGAATCCTCATTATGAAAAGACCATCATTTATCGGGAGACATGGAGAGGGTCGAGATCATCGAGAGTCAAAGTGGACAGCACCACTCTACTCTAGTGGGGAACACAACACACTCGAAAGCGGTTCATGAGTTCCCTTGATGACCTCCATGGATGTTCTCACTGACCACCATCTAGTGGCCCGACAGACATGTCTTTCATAACATCGACTGCATCCTGGAGCATTTAGGCAGAGGGCATCTATCATCCATCTCCTCCGTCCCTTTCTTTCCTGCAGGATTATGTGCAATTACGCCATGCAGAAATTTGAATTCAAGAACAACAGCATGCCAACATTCCTTTCCTCCCTCTCCCTTGATCTCGAGCTGTTTGATATCGGAGCATACGATGGCAGTCCTGCATAGCATCTTTGCTTCTGTATCATAGCTTACCCATAGATTTGAACAAGGCGCCGAGGTGGAAAACGGATCGTACGAGAGACTAGAGCATGGTCATAGGACGAAAGATCCCAGCCGAATTGTCAAGGGTCTATTACCGTCAGAAGTATATAAATCTGGTTCCTATGCGGTTAGACTGAGGGGTGTGAGAAATGGTCTGAGGAGTAGAATAACTACTGATGTTCTATATCATAATCTTCTCCAAAGTGTCTAACATTTCGACATTTGAACCGCAATCAAGAAGGAATTTAGCTGCTGTCAGATGCAGAGATGAGACACGTTGGAGCAAGGTAATATCATCCACAAGCAAAACATCAAAGGGCATAGATTTACCAATTTTTTTCAACATCAATCAGATTCATGTCACACAGAACCCATCAAAAACCCATGTACACGACTGGAAAGTATCCTAAGACAAATATAGGGAGTATGTCTTGTATGATAAATGTCTCAATAATGTCCAACTCAAACAACGAAACAGGGACTGCTGCAACTCCTCAAAAATCTCCCAAAAGTGTCGATGTGATGCTGCTGCACATCTACGTATGCCTTCCGATCCACATCTGTCATGAGTATTAGAGCAACGACTGGGCCAAACCATAATTTCTGCGGTTCAAAAGAACCAATGAGGTCGGCAATTGTGCAATTCACAAAGTTAGGATCCTGAATGTGCAGCTGCATTTGGTTCTTGCGGTACCAAAGCTCAACTGACGGATCGTCCCCCCATGCACCGACCCTTCGACATGCGAGCTCATCAGGACGAATGAAGTCGTTTAGCTGCGGTATATGGTCTGGTATTTCTCCATAGGTTCCATATCGGAATATGAATGTGAGATCAACTTCTTCAGGCGCCGAGTCTTATGCCTTTATTTTGAGTTTCTCAAAATGGGAACGAGGTGAAGATGTACGGCGTGCATGAAATATGAGACTTCGAGTACTGCTGTTCCCTGGATCCTGATAAATTATTTCCTTGTCGATTCTTGGAAAAATATCCAAAAATCGGTGTTCTAAATCTCGGAACTCGGTGAAATGTATTCCAAAGCACTGGACTCGCGATTTTCAGTCATCACTGGTAGGAAAATATCAGATGCCACGTACCACATCTAGGCATAACTGGGTGCACCAGAATTGACCACACTGACATACAGCGATGGGTTCACAGGCGAGGTCCATTCCTGTGCAGCCATGGCACTTGAATAGTGTAGACATCAGTTCCTGATATGTGGCAGAGTCCATAAAGTGCGAATGATAACGTTTCCAGGAACGTTGAGATTCGAAAAGGCGGTTCAAGTGTGGGATCGCCGAGATGCGTTGGAGTAGAGTGAACGTTAAGAATGAATGTTGGACCCCGAATTCATATAGGCCAGTGAATGGCGGTGCTCCTCGATCAGAGCAACAAAAAACTCAAACTCAGCATCTTGAAGGCGAAATAGATGTGTATGCGAAATCTTGAGTGCTTTTTTGTTATCGCCTTTAAGTGCTACCTGAAAAATTCTACTGACAAACACTGAATCGGGGATTCATATGCTCGTGCTGAGTCGCACACCGTAAATATGGTTAATCAGTGAGTACACTGCTATCCTATGGATGTTCACTCTGTTGACTGTCGTATAGATGTTGTACAGGAACCATAAGTTCAGGTTCAAGATTACGCCCCACTTCCTGAATATCTGGTTATTCCAGCCCACCCCAAGTCAAAATTTCACTGTTCTCCCCACCGGAGGGCGACTACACCACCACAGGTCCCTTCGAATTGGCAATAGAGTGAGTTACTCTCATTCTCTCAGCCATCAATCAGTCCTCATTCCTTAGTTAGCTTGACACTGACGACTGTGGTTTCAATGGAGAGTACTCTACTATCATGGAAATGACTGTGAAAAATCTCACGGTGCTGGGTGCAGGATCTAGTGTGGACCTTTCGATCATACAGCACTAAGTCATTGTGTTATCTTTTCTGCTTCACTATTTACTAAGGTTTCCAGAAACAACCTGTTCAATGTATATGCATTGTTCTCATACTTCGAAGGCTATGGTGGCAAAGGAAAATCATGTGAGTCAGTCAGGCTCATAATGTATACCTGGGTCATCCTGACTGCAATGAATAGGTGGAAAGCTGACTGTCAATGTGTTTCATCAGGTGACAGACTCAGAAGCTCTGGTGCAATGCAAAGATGATGATGTTGGTACTTCTTATTTTCTTCTCCCAAGATACTGATGTGCAATTCTCTACATCAGGATTATTGTCACTTTTTTGCTAGATTCATTTACTGAGACATCACAGACACATCAGGCTGGTCATTTTATCAGGTCCCTGCATCTCAATATAGGCTTCACAGAATGATATATTATTCTGCAGACATATATTTGATCTTCTAGATACCCTCCATTGTCTGATCCTCTGCTCACAGAATGGTGCACAGGATGTCAAGTGGAGTATGAATCTGAAGCTGGAGGATGTGAAGAAGCAGGGATCTGCACTGGAGATTGCATTAGATCAAGTGTCCTCTCTGCTCATGTTTATTGAAGCAAATGGCAACACCGATGGTTTGTATGAAACAGTGCCATGAACTGAAGACTTGGAGGCAAGAAGAATAAGGAATTTTCATGATAAGGTTCGTCAAGATACAACGATGTATCCATACAACTACTTGTTTAGTTCGAAAATTGTATGAAGAATTGTGTTCTATTCAAATGTTCAAATTGCTGTGTGTCATTTGTCGAATTGATAATAATCTCTCGAGGACGACACTTGTTTGTGGTGGTGGTTCATTGCAATCATGTGATTTGTTTTCATCTCTTTCATTGCAGGCCGCCTTCGACCTGACTCATACTCCCATTTATCGATCGTGCCTGCTCTATCTTTCCATTCTTTGAAATGATAAAATCGACAATGTATCCCTCTTGCTCTATGGCTCAAGAACTATAGTGCCTTACGATCCCCACAAAGCCACTTCGATGTGAGAGACTCCGATTTTCTGTGAGATATTTACTGATCAAAAATCGGAGCTTAGGCAACGGCACAAATAACATCGGCCGGCTTGCACGAAGCATTGCCACTGATCCGGAACTGTAGCATGTCAAGTGGGTAATACCTCAAGCATACATGGTTCTTCCCACATCCTTGTATCAAACCGTCCTGATATCTCACATAAAATATTGGATGCCACATACCGCTTCTAAGCAGAACTAGGTGCACCGGAATTCACCACACTGACATACAGCGATGGGTTCAAAGGCAAGATCCATTCCTCTGCAGCTGTCATGGAGGAATAGCATAGATGGCATTTCCTGAGATGCGGTAGCATCCATAATGTCTGAATGATAATGTATCCAGGCATGTTGAGATTCAAAAGGGGCAGTTCCAGTGAGCAGGATCGTTGATAGGTGTTATAGTAGTGTGTTTACTATAAGACGCTGAGTTTATATAGGTGGAAAAATAGAGATTCCACTTGATCGGCAGTGGTGAGTCAATCGTTCCATCACGATCTTACACTGAAGACGTACCGTGTCCTGAATACCTTGATCTGGCACTTTCCAGTCATCAGCATGGCAATGTTCTATACTCAAGACTTAGCCCTGTCACAAACCAATTGTCCACCTGCTTTCTGTTGGATATGAAGTCAATTTATGTTCAATGCAAGTGAAAAATTAAACAAACTGACATGCTTCTTATTTAATCTGTGTCCGGAAAATAAGACAAATCTATGAACAAAGAAAAAGAAAATCAACGAATGCTTTTGAGACTCGAGAGTCCGTGAATCGACCTCGCGCAACAAGCTCGTGAGGCAAGTACTTCTGTAGTATTATTTTCTTGACTATTACTTACCGACTACGAGATGTTTTTACCGAAATGGGGCCGTTCATGCCTTGTTAATCTGACGCGCGAGTCTCCATGGACTTAGCCAAGACGTTGAAGTACTCGACCTGCCTCTGTTCTGCAATAGTCGGGAACCTCCGTTATTTGCTCAGACTGGTGGCCATAATAAGCTCCTCGTCACCGAAACCCTCCAGCCGTTCTTGGAACCACAGGCTCATCGGTGTGTTGTCCGTGCCGCAGACGTTGGAACACGAGCTTACAATGACATCCGTCCTTGGGAAATGGTTGGAGCGCGACATGGCACTGGCACGGGAGGGCGGAGGGGGGAATCCCTGATGGCGTGGAGAAGATGTCCAAATCACCACCCGCGCCGGAGCTTAGCTTAGTTACCACGTAACGGCCAGCCCATACAGGTACAGCACTTTTATCTCAGCGGCGGGTGCTGTACTTCCCATCATGCCTTTATGAAGATTTTTTTTTCTTTCTGTTCGATCTCTGTTAAGGTTACCGCCGATTTGCAGGCATTGTTTTTGGTTAGCCTAATGGCAGAGGACTAATTCTGACGGGATACATTTGGGATGGCGCAGAGATGTGAGTTGTATATGCGATGAGCATGGTATATATTAAGAGCCGGTGGGATAGATAGCCTTGGTCACTAGTACAAGGAGACGTAGCACTTTGGCCTAGCGGCTGTTGTGTTCCATAACAGCTTGTGACAATGACCTTTTTCCCTGCCAGTTCGATTCTCCGAAGGAACGTGTTGTCTCCTTTTCAGCGGAAATGGAAAGAAAAGGACACGGCAAAAAAAGTGCATAGCATAGCCAGTGGAACTATGCGCACTAGGGAAATTGAACCTCCACTAGATGGATGGAAAGGTGCCGTCGAACGGTCAGCGTATTACAGAAGTCGAATTTATCCAGACTTGACACGTTCTACCCCATTGGTTAGCGTCCAGACTGAATTACCTCTTTATCTCACATAAACACGGCATTTTAGTCCAGCGATGGGCTTCTTAGGCATTATCCGATTCTCTTCTTAATGCTTTTTGTCAGTTCGATCCCGGTTGAGGTCAGAGTTCCCAGCGAACGGGTGTTATGATCCCAGGTAGAGATAGGCCTCATTACCTTATTTACTCCAGTCCAACGCCTTACATTCACACTGTATGCAATCGAGTGCGGGAGACCTAACGAAATAGAGTCTGACACGGGACCGTTGTGTTTCAGTACTTTGTTGCCCTGGCCAGCGGCGTTCTAGAGTGAGGATTTTGTATTAGGCTCGTGGTGAATGAATTGAAAGAGACAATTAGCATGGCGGTTTGGTATAATAGCTGGGGGTCCCATATAAACGCAAAGTACTATTTTCGTTACATTTCCGGCACTCGGTTACCTTGCGCGAGCGTAAAGTGTTGGACTTTCGTAACTAAGGTAACGCTCGTTTGCGGGGGGGCCGTATCTCTACCTGGAACCAAAACACCGTTCGCTAGGAACTCTGATTCTCAATCGGGATCGAGCTGACAACAAGCATTAAGAAGAGAATCGGATAATGCCTAAGAAACCCACCGCTGGACTAAAATGCCGTGTTTATGTGAGATAAAGAGGTAATTCAGTCTGGTCACAAACGAATACGGTGGAGCGTGGCAAGTCTGGATAAATTCGACTTCCGTAACACGCTGACGGTGATACGGTACTTTCTGTCCATCGAGTGGGGGTTCAATTCCTCTAGGGCGTATACTTGGATCGTCCTGTACCTTTTTCCGCCCATTCTGTCTTTCGTTCCTTGCATCGGTTTCATTTTTGGCACCGTATAGAACGGGCCGTTTTACCAAGAAGAGAAATAATTGTATACAGTATGTATATACTACAACTTGGATACAGCATTACGATGTACAAGGTAGATAGATAAGTATAGACGAATGGGGCTTAGGATATGAAACAGGGACGGCATTATGCGCTAAAGATCATCTCCTCTCGGGGTCGCTATAGCGCCGAGGGGGAGATGGGGACGGCGGGTGGGGCGGTGGATAGGAAGAGGTAGACGAAGAGGGTACGGCGGACGAAGATGGTGCAGAGGTAGATGGGACACTCGACTGGGGGTAAGACGAGTACGTCGGGGACGAGCGGGAATATGGGTAGGGCGTGTACGGTGTATATGGCGACTGATAGGGTGGGTTAAAGGCGGATCCGGGGCCGGTGTACCTCCGAGGGGGCGAGAACAGCGCTGACGTCCGCCCAGGACCAGGAACGTCAGCGCTGCCCAGTTTTTTGGCTGCGGGGGCGGTGAGATGAACGGCGGAGGAGGCCCGGGCTGGGGATGGGGCTGAGCCTGAGCCTGGGACTGGGACTGAGCCTGGGACTGGGTAAGACGCTCAACGAGGGCCTCGAGGTGCTCCACGCGCGCCTTCAGTTCATCGTACTCGGCACGAGTCGCGTATTTTTCAGCCGGCTCGACGACGTTCCAGAGACACTTGCTCTGCTCGCCCCGTCTCACACACGGCGCGCACGGCTGGTTCCTATCGCATCTAATCTTGCGGCGCTTACACTCTACCCCATCACAAAATCAGTAACAAGTCCAATCGAAATCTCGGACAGCGACACACCAGTGCAGCTCAGCGCCTGTCTCCTCCTCTTCTTCTTCTTCGGTTCGTCCCCTCCACTCTCACCCTCGCCTTCGCCTGCGGAGGACGGGAGATACGGATGCAGCTGTCGAATCGAGGGCAGCATCTCTAGTCATCCTACATCGTCGTCGTAGTATAAAAGAGAAAACCTGAAACGTTAAAATAGCCTTTTCCGGCTTATCTCCGGCATGATGTAATCGCGCGGTTCAAACGGATCTTGCATCGATTATGCGCGATCGATGGTGGGTTGATGCCGAAATGGAAGGATACTCCCGCAGAGACGAATTATAAATTGTGAAAGCGCACAGCCCCATACGCCGATGGTGAAACGGTTATCATGCTTGCCTTCCATTGCAGGAAATTGAATATCTTTAGCAAGCGGTAAGGGTTCGACTCCCATTCGGCGTACGGTGAAGCTTTTTTTGTTTTTGTTCTCCTATGACCCACAACCCGGCAACTAAAGCACCCCATCTGGTTCCGTCCGCAACCCCTGATCCGTGCCTGGACGCCTCCTTCTTTTGTCTTCCTTTCTTCCTCTGCCCGTTTCACCGGTTTCTCTTTTATCCCGCATGGTCTTCTCCTATCCCCGTGAGATGATGATATCCGGCGGTACCTCTCAGCTGCTAATCTCCGAAACACGCCTCTGTCGCACCCCGAGTATCCTTGTGGTTTACACGTTTATCCCTCAAGGATCTTCGCCTACCCGTTGTCTAGACTGCGATGCCGTATTGCTTACCTCGCTTCCCCCTCCCAACAAACGCGCGTAACGCATCCGAATCATGTTCAGAAACATTCGGACTTTGCCCTGGATGTGGCTGTATGGATGATTGCGTGTGCTTGACCCTTTCTCACCTTTTTTTTGCTCCCTCTGTCTTCGGATCTAGCTTAATTACACGCCACAAAAATCCATTCTCTTTGTGGAGGCCTCGCCCTCTACGGCTGTCGCATCCGAAACTCATCAATCGACTCGGACTTTGCCCTGAAAGTGGCTGTACGCCTGTTAGCTCTACCTCTCTCAAAATTAAAAACCGCATCTTCGGATCAACGCTGGTTAATGGTTAATCATACGCAACCGAGGAATCCACCACATCTTTTTCACGAGGCCTCGCTCGTAAAAAAAAATTCGTCTAGGAAAGGCAATGTTAAAACACTCTTTGCATGCGTTTGCGTTGATGGCCACATCATCACGCGCTCGCTCGTTAATTACACCCATGCTCTTCAACCACGAGAATCGTCCATAATCAACCCTCCTGAACCGACATCATCCGGATACTTCGGGAAGAACCATTTCCTGCGCTAGTTGTCATCTCGTCCTCCGTGGTTCATACCATTGTAGGACAGATACACGCCTTAGGAGCACCTCCTTGGCGTGCTGGTAACAATCCTCCCATACGCTCACCGTCTGTACGGTGCGACTTTTGCTGCCTGACGTTGTTCTCTGGGAGCATTTGATACGTGTTCGGAGGGTTAATCCTATCGGGTATATTTGGTTCGTGCCGCTCATCTCCGTCTTTTGTGAAAGGTTCTCCTAGTATCCCCTTCCATCAGGGCAGTTTGTTTCCTAACCCACGCAGTCCATAATCTTTGTGCTTCGTATGTATCTAGGAACGCTGCCTGCTTGTTCCACTGGTCTCACCTGGGCGACTTCTTCTCAGACTAGGCTACGTGCTATCATCAGGCCACAGTTTCGTTTCATTATACGCGTAAGCGAAAGAAAATACTTCTTTATCATGGAAGACCTAGGACATCCAACTTCACGATAGACGGCCCGGTTCCGTCTCTTGATTCGTACCCCTCGACTTCGAGTCCTATTTAGCGCTCCGCAGAGGATCTATCAGAGGTGCCTGGATATCGAGTATTGGTTCCCTCAACAACGAAGATCCGAATCACGCTCCTCGATGACTTCTCCACTCCCATACGCCTTTCACGGATGCCGTTGATTAATTATACACAGCTGACAATCGTTCGGATGGAAGGATCCTTGTACCCCTCTCCTCTTTTCTTCCTTCTTCTCCTCTCAAAATTAAAAACGGATCAAGCCAAGGAATTTTTCCTTCATAAATAACGATTAGGCTCTCTCTTGCATGCGATGTAAGACCAAGAGCACATCTTCTCACGTTCGTTAATTACATCGCACTATCTAATCGTCCTTGCTTCTGAAACTCGAATTCTACGGGGCGAGATGTTCTGAGATTTATGAGCCTCCTGATCGTGTCGAAGTCGTTATCCTCCTCTATACATTTCCCCATGATCTGCTTCTCACAGAGCAATTTCCTAGGCATTATGAGCAGTGATCCTCTCGCAGCGTGAAGTATACGCTTTGGTCTGACATGCTTGCCTCCATGTCGGACGAGAGTTAGTTATCACGGAGTTGAATCTTACGCATCAGGACTTTCGTAAAGTCATATCTCAGTATTCTTTTATCTTTCCGATTAATCTCCCCGATCAGGGCATTCTTCTACTACTTCTTGGAGAAACACCATACCGAGTCGAAGCTCAGATAAATATTTCTGATACGCTTGCCGGTCTCGTGTATATCCAGGAAGACGTCTTTCTTCCTTTGGCTGAATGGCTGACTTGCACTGTAATCTCCGCAGGAAATGACTTGAACGCTTGTGTTTATGGAATCCGTTCTGTCTTTCCTTTCTCAAAAAATTCCGTTGACGCTTATCCCAGCACCAAGAACTAAATCTCACATGCCATCACGCTCGCCGAAATGAATTATGTAGACGGATATATCTTCCTTTCTAAGGGGGTGTGTTTTCCGCAAATGAATATCACGCTACCATAGCTGCTCTCCGATTATGTCTTTCCGCGCACACGTCTCAGTGGCCAGTCTCTATTTTAGCGCACCGCAGAGGATCAGAGTGCCTTCATATCGATAACGTTCTTCCATGAAAAGGAGTCTGGTTCAGGCCGGTCCCATGTTTATTTATATCAGTGGGGGTAAGTCGAGCGTGAGATATATGCGTCAGAATCAGAATATTCAATGGCGCTAGTAAGGAACTTTCTAACCAACCAGGGACTTTGGATTCGGGGGGACCGGGCTCATCGGGTAATAGCCGAACTGATATTTAAGACTAGCACGGTTTAGCGAATAGTTTTTGGGCCCAGAATGTACGTGCTCAAGTCGTAGGTATGCTTACAAGCTTTCGTATGAATGAACAGGTGAATAGATCTTTTTTTTGCAGCGATTCCCACGTCGTTTGTCTTTCTTTGCTTTTTGACAGGCAAATGTCAGAGGTTCCTGAGAATCGAACTTGAGAGTAAAAAAAAAATGCAACGAGTTATATGGACCATGTAACACTCTAGCCAATACACTGCAGTGCTACGTTGAACTTCTTTACTAACCTGGCTTTCAGCAACGCCTTCATTGATGGACCTACCTGCCCATGAAAATCTAGTCGAAGGGTACAGCGCGCTGTTTTCGCTAATCCTTGTACCGATGCTCATTTCCCGCCATTGTCGAAAAAACTGATGGAACTCACGCTTAAGGGTGTAAGAACGTCATGTTCTTCCCGACATTCATCTACATGGACGGAACGAATTTTGGGTTTTATTTCTTCATGCAACGGTGAGGCGGAAGATAAACAATCGGCATGAGAAATCTTGGGAATCGTTAATTACCTTTGGTAAAGGGGATCGAACTCGGAAAAACCTCCTTCTATCTAGCATATACCCAGCAGTCGCGACTGAACCAGAGTGCCACATCTGTCCAGTGAGGAAAGTCGTCGAGGAGGTACGTGCTAGCTAGTTTTTTGAACCCCTAACATACTTTTCTTTGCACTCCAGCTGCAATGTTGTATCAGGCTGATGGTGCACCAGCACCTACTCCTTCATTGAATTCCTATCACCCGACAAGAGAATGCCGAGAATTGAACTCGCGGGCCCTGAAAAAGTTCCAGGAATGAATTGCGAATGTGACACTCTAACTATTACGTTCAAGTGCAACGTCAACAAATCGGCGTTGATTTAATCTTGCACCAACACCAGGAAATGATGCAACTGTTCGCACGCAAAAAACCGAGCTGAAGAGGTACAATCAGAACACCATCCTGTTCTCGCCGATCAACGAATTTTCTCTTTGGACTTGGTAGGTATCATCCTCCTTCCCTTCCCCACGTATCTTCATTCTTGACGGTCTTGTTCTCTAGTACTAAATTATTTCTCTCTCCACCGCAGCCGGATATCTATCCTTAGTTCAATTTTTATATTTCGGTTCGCAGATCTCGGTGGTGAGGCTGTATTTTAAGCAAGATGCGCAGCGAAGGAATTTCATACCATCAGTGAGAATCCATTTTACTACCCACACAATCTGCCCATTTTCGTCTTCGGTTTGTTCCACATTAGTTAGACTTTGTGGCGCGAATCAGGCTTTGAGATGAAATAGAGTGATAAGCCGTGCACCACGGTGTATTGATAAGACTCATCCTTGCCATGCAGCATACACGTGGTCTGATATTGCTGAAATTGGCCTTGCGGTGACATGCTGAGGATGGAACAGCACCCTTGTATAACGCAGGTGCTCAATTATCCTTTCCTGTATACAGTCGACCCTTTTTGTCGCTGGTATTCATACGTCCAACAATTATTGGAATTGGGCTTGGATTGCCATTCTCAGCTGTAGTTACCTGCCCATCAGATTCTCATGAATCGCTGTCTGCGAAAAAAAAATCTATGGAAGGTTTTTGTTTCACCAAGAATCGAACGCCCAGTGCAAAAAATGTCGACCTGGAGGAATATAGGTACACAACAGCCGATAAACCACAGTGCCCTTGTCTTCTATTACTATATAGTGCCTTGGTATGCGTCCTCGACCTCTGCCCTCTATGAAATCTCATGGCAGGCGAACACGTGGTGAAGTAGGTACAATCGGCGGGAACTATAATCTGATGAACGTGGCAATATCCTTAAGGTATCGACAGGTCTCATTGAATTTGTTAGGCTCTCAGCATTTATTCACTTAAGTGGCGCGAGTACGAGACACAGGACCATATTGGAATAGGTGGAAATATTGACAGAAGAATATATGTGAGTATCTCAGTCGGGCACAACGTGGGTGAAACGACTAAGGCATACAGATAGGAACGGCTGGACTATATAGGTGATCGGGAAACGACAGGAGGTGTAAGTATATATAAGGCAAATAGAGCGAGTGATCAAAAAGTAAGATAAGATGAAATGTACGGATATCCTCCAACAGGAAAATACGAATTCCACCTCTTGGCGTCTGTATCTGGCATAGAACAGCCAGGAGATATGGTCTGGAAGAGGATAGTCAGATATTTCTATAATTAAATTGTGTCTAGCATGCTAAAAACACGATGCCACCCAAACATTGGTTCTGTAGAGGAAGCATTCTATGGGACAGTGGTCCAGCGGATGAGATAACCTCTCTAGGAAGCTCTGGCGTGGGCATTGGAAACGATGTTTCCTTGCCTTCCTTCAACTTTCCTTGGCCATCTCTGCTATTCCAACGGAAAAGTCATTCTACATCTTGTCAGCTCCAAGAGTCGATCGTAACAAGGTATGAGACAAATACAAAGCTCTGCTTTGAAGGTGTCGACGTCAAAGTAAGGAAATATTGAATCTATCACCGCCTTCATGGTGCTGACAAATGTCCAAGAATGATTATCAATTTTTTGTATTTCGCCATATCGGGACCACGCAAAAAGTTCTTCCTCTCATCCCTGGGTTACTGTCAATGAAGGGCCAGATGACTGGTAACCCCAGCGATCTTGCAGTTCGTTCGTGTGGGGGCGACGAAGGACTCGAGCCAGCGATGGCAAACTGTTCTTGGAAAATATATCTTGGAGAAAATATTGGAGATGAGGTTGGCAGGGAATTATGGGCCTTTGGAAGAACTAGATGAGGAAAGAGAGGAAAATGGATTTGTTAAATAAATGGAACCTCGAAAGACGTCATGTAAAACGAAGAAATTTCGTTTTCGATGGGATGTGATCTTTGTTACCATTATTTCCCATGTATCACGCAGTGCAGTAAGGCCATTTCTGCCACATCTCATTATCTGACAAACAGATATAATATCACTTATGTCGTATTTACGAGTAGAACAATTCCTCCACTTTCAAACAACAGCTAATGGATCATTCTCATAAATCAGCGGGTGATCTGAATCCGCACTCTTATCCAACTCAGCAACTTTAACATTATAAATGATCACCGACCTCATTGTCATACCTGGAATAGACATTATTCTTTTCCTGATCCCAGTGTTTGAGGTATTCTTAGGTGTGATTGACAATTCTTGGACATTCTGCTCAAATACTGGTGCACCAAGACATTTCGAGATGTATATTATGAACAATGCACGAGGAGCGATACCTGGGTCTATACAACCTTAAACTAACGTTAAGAGCTGGTTAAGGACGGGATATTGTGCCAATGTGCAGATGCCTGCAAGATTCATCCCAGGCCACAGATGCGATTGAGGAGTGTATAATAAGAAGTAGCCACTGGCTTTATGTTTATAAATGTGTATCGCATTTCTCTTTCATCCATGGGCTGTTGGAATTCAATCATTCCTTTAAGATGGTGTGAGAATCCAGGTGTTACCATTCGCGCTGGAGGGGAGGGGAAAAGAGAAGGTAAGTGTGCTAGAATTGTATGTCATCGGAATGCTGTATCTGTTTGTGTATTGATGCCTCATGAATATCACTCTATAGTGAATATGTGGTCTCTGCAGGTAGATAAGAGCTGCTTCTTTTGCGCATTTTATGATGGGGTTGGGCGGCAAGCTACACGATGCGCCAACTCGGAGGCGTCCTTTGTCGACAGAAGATTCGGCAAAGCTGCAAAGTTTGGGATTCATTGAAGTTTGCTGATTAACCTAGCTAGCTTTCTAACATGTCGTCTTCTGTGAATTCAAGATTATCCAAAATACCTTTTCAGGTGTGCCTTCACCAGACTTGTTAGCATATTAGGTGGACTAGGTATGGTGTCTTACCAAGCTGGTACTAGCACTCTGTTTAGCCATGTGCATCGGCGTAGAAGACTTTTATGTGAGATATCAGGACGGTTTGATACAAGGATGTGGGAAGAACCATGTATGCTTGAGGTATTACCCACTTGACATGCTACAGTTCCGGATCAGTGGCAATACTTCATGCAAGCCGGCCGATGTTATTTGTGCCGTTGCCTAAGCTCCAATTTTTGATCAGTAAATATCTCACAGAAAATCGGAGTCTCTCACATCGAAGTGGCTTTGTGGGGATCGTAAGGCACTATAGTTCTTGAGCCATAGAGCAAGAGGGATACATTGTCGATTTTATCATTTCAAAGAATGGAAAGATAGAGCAGGCACGATCGATAAATGGGAGTATGAGTCAGGTCGAAGGCGGCCTGCAATGAAAGAGATGAAAACAAATCACATGATTGCAATGAACCACCACCACAAACAAGTGTCGTCCTCGAGAGATTATTATCAATTCGACAAATGACACACAGCAATTTGAACATTTGAATAGAACACAATTCTTCATACAATTTTCGAACTAAACAAGTAGTTGTATGGATACATCGTTGTATCTTGACGAACCTTATCATGAAAATTCCTTATTCTTCTTGCCTCCAAGTCTTCAGTTCATGGCACTGTTTCATACAAACCATCGGTGTTGCCATTTGCTTCAATAAACATGAGCAGAGAGGACACTTGATCTAATGCAATCTCCAGTGCAGATCCCTGCTTCTTCACATCCTCCAGCTTCAGATTCATACTCCACTTGACATCCTGTGCACCATTCTGTGAGCAGAGGATCAGACAATGGAGGGTATCTAGAAGATCAAATATATGTCTGCAGAATAATATATCATTCTGTGAAGCCTATATTGAGATGCAGGGACCTGATAAAATGACCAGCCTGATGTGTCTGTGATGTCTCAGTAAATGAATCTAGCAAAAAAGTGACAATAATCCTGATGTAGAGAATTGCACATCAGTATCTTGGGAGAAGAAAATAAGAAGTACCAACATCATCATCTTTGCATTGCACCAGAGCTTCCAAGTCTGTTGCCTTATAGGTAGGTGGTACATGAATTGCTCAGAAGAACCTCAGAAGTAACCCTAAGTTAGGGTTTAAACCAACAGTGGTACACAGAACAGCAGTGGTGGGACTGCAAAATGCAATGGATGCCTCACTCAGTGCACAGACCATGCACAGGCTGGTATCATGAATGCACAGTGGTCCCTCTTGTGCATGGTCTGTGCACTTTGGTAGGGGGCATGTCTGTTTCATGGTACATGAAGTCTATGCCCATTTGCATGTGACATGGGCATAGGGCTTGCATTCAGTCCATGGTACATTACCAATTCTCAAAATATGACCATTCTTGCATTTTAGAATTTGATAGAGGCATGTAAGGCTCGCATTCCATCTGTAGTACATTACCAATTCTCAAAAAATGGCCATTCTAGTGTTTTAGAATCTTGTAGGGCTTGCATTCAGTCTGTTGTACATGAACAATTCTCCAATTATGACTATTCTGGTCATTTAGATTCTTTTACTGTCTTTTTCAATCATGTATGGAGTTGGTTTCTTTTGTGGTACAGGACAAATATTTTATTTATAGCTATTCTGGTCATTTTCAATTGTGTATGGAGTGCATTTCTTTGGTGGTAGAGGATGAATTTTTTGTTTATAGCCATCCCTGTCTTTCTCAATTGTTTAAGAAGCACCTCCAATCCATGGTCCATCACCAATTTTTCAGTATATCTCCATTTTGCACAGAATATTGATGTAGAGAGCACATTTGCATCATGGTCCATTGCCAATTTTCAACTGGATCTCTATTTTGCACATAACTTAGGGTTGCTTCTGAGGTTCTTCCGAGCAATTCATGTACCACCTACCTATAAGCTCAAACAGCGATGGAACTTACACTGCTGTCACTGCTATCACCATGATGGGTCTGACTTCAGATGAAATCGCAACTATCATCGAAGAGCAATGGCCAGAGATGTGGGTTTGGAGAGATTCTAACCCTGGATATGATTGGTACATGAACAGCATGGCATGCTAGGGGAATAAATGCAGTTATAGATCACATAGCGTATTTTCTTGATCATCACCAATGAATGAAAGACATTCCTGAAAGCAGTTACTGGTTCCATAGTTGACTAGAAGCACAATAGTGTAAAAGCCATTGAATTTGTCTGCTCCTCTCCTCTAGTACAAGGGAGGGGAGTATTTGTTCTTTCAGAATACAACTGCAATGAGGAAGGTCTTGAAGTTAGAGTAAATTTCAAAGAATCTCTGTTCTGGTATTTGCAGTACCTCAGCCCACTCATGGGACAATTCAAAATATGACCAGCACCATCTGATGTAACCATCACCCAAACCTCCAATGCCCACCATCCTTCTCCAGAAATTTCCACATCAGCTTATCTTTCCATCCCTTCTCCCATCACCCATTCACACTTGCCAGGAATTCTTCCACCACAACAGGGACAGTTCCATCATGCCCAATAATCATTAGCACATCTGGGTCTGCATCAAGCCATGCCAAATGTCCCAATGACTGCATCATCACATCATAATCCTTATACACCAAGGCAGCAGGAGGCAGAGGGATCTTCAGTAAGGGCTTGGAGGTGATTTGGGAGAAGTGGGATTTGCAGAGGAAGGCTGTCATGCTATGAAGGAGTGAGGCATAGGGAGCAGTGGTGTGCTGTGGGTTGGATATTGCCGATGTGGTGGCAGCAGTCACCTCCTAGCAGCACAAACATTGTGGGTGTTACATGTGTGAGACTGGAAATATGACCTGAGTGATGCTGGGATGGACTATCAGTATGAACCGAGGGTGAAGATGAAGCAGATAACTCACACCAGATGTATTGAGTACATAGAAGCTTCCATCACCAAAGTAGTCGAGAGCTGGAAGGTCTGCAATATGCAGCATTGTGTTGCATTGGAGAATGAGAGTTCCATCACTTTATGCCCACTACAAGTCATAAGATTTTGGTACAGATACTAAAATCATAAAAGAATGAACTGATGCAGTATCGCTCTTGATAAGATGCATGTCCTCATGCTCAGGATAGGTGCAGAGATCCATCCCTGGTCCAACCACTAATTCTGTAGCAGATGGAAACAGCGATATATCATCTGTCAACCAGCAACATCAGTTTCCTTGCATAAATGAAACAATATGGGCAGCAGCATACCAATGTGGTTGAAATGGGTATGGCTACACAAAAAGTCAGCATTAGTACATGGATGCCAATAGATTTGAGACAACCTCACCTCCAAATGACAGCATCCATGCTCCCCAAATCTACTCCCTTCACCAGCTGCTTGCTCACTGTCTTACTTGCATCAGTGCCCATATCATACCCACCCAACTCTCTGAAGAGGTCAAAGAATCTCTGCACTACAGGCACATACTTCTCCTGATCCTTTCTCATTCCCAAATCAAATATGACCTTTCTCTTAGTCAGATGTTCAATGAGGAAGGTGTATACTGGTCTGGACAATCCTTTGTAGCCTGGTAGGATGGGCTTGAAGAACAGTGAAGCAGGCAAAAAGTTGATTATGCCAGCATTTATGGTGTGGACGATGATGGTGGATGTGGACGATGGGATACTGCTGGTCATTGTTGAAGGTGGGGAAGGAGGGGAAAGAAGAAAACCAAGATTGTATGATTGCAAATCGATATTTGAAAAAGCAAAGGCAGCTGACCCCAACATGGAATTTCAGATAGATCTCCCCTCTTTGAATGACAGATCTCCATGAAGCATGAGATTTCATTATTGTGTACAACAAACACCATAGCCACAATCATGCCATGGCAAGAAGGAATGTGAAAATTTGTCTGTTATTGTGCAGAAGTTAATGAGTCATCTAAGTCTGGTTCCTGTCAATAAAGAACTACAACAAAACTATAATTAAACATACAATGGCAGTGATGGTGGTATGAATACTGCATCGTTGGCATGGATACAGCAATCCCACTACACATCAGTGTGATGCTGACAAGAATAAATATTGCTGCATACCTCAGGTCCCACACAGATCTCTCCTACATTAAAAGCCATCTGAAGGGAGTTTGAGCACACCTCCACCCTGATGGTGGTTGAGCACCAAGTCATGTCTGTTTGGCAGTATTGACAACACAACATGCTCAAGGGAATTAGGGGTTAGAGTTAGGGTTAGAATGGTGTCACCCCTTTGGTGGAGCTGTTGGGGTGACACAATATGAGTAAAGAAAACTCACTTCAAAAGCATTGAGGTTTGTGTGAATGCTTGGTAAAGTGAATCAAGATCCAACAGAAGGATGAAGATCCATCACTCCACCCTGTTTCGCTTTTATAGCTCTTCAGGGACCTGATTCATAAGTAGATGACTCCACTGAGAGCTTTTGGCAGGCCAATCAGATATGCTTTATCAGCAATCATGCAATCCACAGTACTTATAAGGTGATACATTTACTAATACTCATACGAAAGTGTATGATCTATTATTCATACTTACTTACTCAGCAGCTTCTATTTAACTGGTTAGTCATACCATCAGACTAATTTTACCATTTTGCCATCAGCTACTAAGTTAACTGGGCCTGCTGAAGCAGGCTGAGAACCTAGCCAGCTTTTCACCAGTCTAGTTGGACCAAGTCTAGACCTGGACAGTTAGGTCTGGGTTAGGTTCAGGTAGTTCTGGTTAGGGTTAGAGGCTGAGTAAGCATTAATTAGTATAATTCATTAATGTGTAACTGCAATGATGATTAAGTCACCAGAACTTACTTAGGGTTAGGGTTAGTCTGCTGGCAGACTACCTGCCATCCATGCCAAGCTTGACATGTTTATGTAAGTTCCTAATAAAGGAGTCTTTTTCAATTTTATATAGTGAGTGAGTTGTATGAATGGCTTACACAGGTACTTCCTTACTTGGTTTAACTATTACCCCTGGTGGATTTTTATAACAGTCTAACTACATGCAACCATCCTGCATCTATAACTGGGATAGACCACACTGTCCACATGTCTGCCACTGAAGTGGAGCTGCATTAGGACGTGCCTATAACTATATCTACAAAGACTTGCAGATCAATATCGCTCTGGTCAGATTCATTGCCAGCAGCAGATGAACCAGAGTTGACATTTTGATCTGAAGATAAAGAATCTTCATCGTACTTTTGGAGAACCATCTTTTTCCAAAGACTGGTCATATCAAACAGATTTTTAGTACATTTTTTACTAACTATCGTTTGATGATTTAAGATACCTATTGTTCTGATATCCAGCATGCCCAGAGGGCCTGCTGGGGTTTCAACAGCCATCAATAGATGGTTGTCTACCTCCTCTGGGCTGATGTCTCCATACAGCACCAACATATTATTCAGCACAGTGCCAAGGTGCTCAATTCTTTCGACTCAATCGCACCAGGTACCCAGAATGATATCTCTGAGCTCTTTCACTTTGAAATAATTCCACATGGTATTATATGTGGACTTAAGTACTAAAATACCACTGTAATCTCCCTGCTGGGTCACTACACCCAAATGTTCTGACCATCATTTAGCAATATTATCTTTCATCTATTTATACATGTAATCTGCAGAGTAGCCATGTGTGATGTATAAAGCACTTAAACTTTTAATAGCATCTTTGTAGTGCTCATGTTTACTACTTAACACAGCTAATCTGGACATCTCCCTGATAAATATTCTGCATTTAATGTCAAGTGGATGGTGAGAGATCCATGGAATTCTTTCTTGGTGGGAGTGAGCTTTCTGATAAGGCATGTGTTGTATCATGTTATTAGCATTGATATATACAGTCATGTCCAGGAACATGAGATGTGAGGGACTCACTTCCCACTCTATTCTACAGCTGTCAAATGCAATAGTACTAACCATCACTAATGCTTCTCTTTCATCATTGGTGTATATGATTGCTAGACAGTCATTGATGTACCTTCCATAGAAAGGTACATTGGCAGTAAATTCTAATTGCTGCTTGAAATACCAGCCATAAAGGTTGGCAAGATCAGGTGAATCGGCAATGCCCATTGCAAGGCTGTTCCATTGTTCAAAAAATAAATCATTATACTGTAGAACCAGATTTATTTTACTGACTGACAGACATTTGAGGAAAATCTGTTCTTGACACAGAGATTCTTCATCATCTTTAATACTATAATATTCTCTGTATAGGTGAGTAATCATGTCAAGACACTTTTGGATAGGTATATTAGAGTAGAAGGTGACAATGTCATCTGTAATGATAAATATTTTATGGGTTCAATCGAGTTTAATCTGACTTAATTTTATCGCTAAGTCTTTAGATCCATGTAAAATAGTTGGTGCTGATTTGACAATCAGTTTAAGAATTTTTGACATATATTTAGCTGCTAGATTCTGGATGGCAGAGTGGCATGGTATATTTGGCCGCATCTTTACTGGCTCCTTATGAATTTTAGAAATACTGTAAAAAGTAGGCACTACATGTTGTGCTCCTGGCAAAGTAATCTTTGACCAGAAATATTTCCCTAATTGGAATCCATTAGGAAGGTGGCATTCAGCAAGCCCTGCAATTTCTTTCATGTCTGTGCATTGTTTATCACATATTGCATTAATCATTAATAAATATAACAGTGTGTAATTAGCACTATCATTTACAATATTGAGTGACTTTTCTATAATCTATTGGTGCATAGATACAGCTATGCCCAAGTTCTTATAGGTAGGCAGTATATGAATTGCTTGGAAGAACCTCAGAAGTAACTCTAAGTTAGGGTTTAAACCAACAGTGGTACACAGAACAGCAGTGGTGGGACTGTAAAATATGATGGATGCTTTGCTCTGTGGATGGATCATGCACAGGCCAGTACTGTGAACTCACAGTGGTCCCTCTTGTGCATGGTCCATGCACTTTGGTAGGGGGCATGTCTGTTTCACAGTACATGAAGTCTATGCCCATTTGCATGTGACATGAGCATATGGAGCACATTTGTTTTGTAGTACATGAGCGATTCTTGAAATATGATCATTCTTGTGTTTTAAAAACTGTGTAGGTAGCACATACAGTCCATGGTACATGACTGAATCTCAAAATATAGCCACTCTTGATGTTTAAAATCTTATAGACCTTGCATTCAGTCTGCGGTACATGACCAAATCTCGAAATATAGCCATTCTTGCCATTCAGAATTTGTGTAGGGAGCATATACAGTCTGCAGTACATTACTGATTCTCGAAATATATCCATTCTGGTGTTTTAGATTCTGTGTATGGCATGCATGCAGTCTATGGTGCATGACCAATTTTCTTTGCAGGCTGCTTTTCATCTGTCAAAGTGAGAATAGCACCATAACAATTTGTTCAATTTGATATCACATCTTTTGTCAATATACTTTGAAATGGTCAGAATATGTGTTTCATTGACATTGTATTCCAACATCTTTTTTTGCTCCTCTTCTCTCTTTGTCAATTTTGATGCTGACTGGATGACACAATGGGCTCCCCCAGCAGCATCCCTCAGTTTCCTTCCATAGTGATTGGTTCCCTTTCATCTGTTATTTTCCTTCTGATGTCTGGCTCTGCTTCATCCTCCAATGATTCCTCTTCTTTTCTGTGCTCTCAGAGAATGCGATCTTCTCTTTCCTGCATGTCCATCTCTTTTTGCTTCTCTCTTTCTTCTCTCTCAATTATCGCCATGATTTCCTCTTCATCCTCTCTATCCCCCCATTCCTCGACATTCTGCAATGCTGGCATGTGGCCACTCATAATATCAAATCTCCAGTTCTCTATCCATGGATTCCAGATAAGACGGACTGCTGAACATGGTAGATCCTCTTTTCGAACTTGTTCCAGTTTAATCAGTTCTCCTCCTGACTTCTCATAAACACACACCTGTGTACTATCAGACCAAACACACTACAGGAATTCATCAAATGCCCTCTTCAGTGCTCTTCACATATCTTCCACTTGTCGTGAAGAAGACATATCATGCACAAATCCTTCCCACATCTTTATTGATTTCATCTTTCCCCAGTTACTCCATGCAGACCATTGTTTCCTCATGTTCAGTTCATTCGGAGTCTGGAAGATGTTGTCAAACAGTGAATCCCACTGGCTCTCTGTTCCTTCATGCATTCTTGCATGTGTCAACACTCCTCCAAGATCATTTTCTTTCATGATACAGATGTCAACCATCCGCCATTCATTCTGTGTCAGAGGAGAATGCTCCCATCCACATTTTGCCTGTCCAACCTTCTGCAGCATGTCAGACACATATTGCTGTAGTACTTGATTCAGAAATGTCCTGGCATGCCCTGAATATTGTTCATCATATATCCAGTCCTCTGGTGACAGATCAGGCCCATAGTCATATGATTTTTCTGGCATTTCTATCCATTAAGCTAGCCTTTCTGTCTTTGACATTGGCTCCTCAGGTCAACCCTTGGCTTTCCTTGTGCATCCTATGATCTGGCCCATTGGCTTCCATTCCACCAATTGTTGCTGCTTCATGTGACTATCTTCAGAACAGAACTCATTCAGCATCTTTCTAATGCCCAACAAATTCCAACCTGCCTCACTGGGCACTTGGATGACACTCTTGCATCATGGTATTCTTATATCACTTCCATTCCATGTTGGCCATGCAATCACACTGCTCAGAATCCACCACAGTCCTCCCTCTGCATATGGTCCTGGCTCATCCATCCCATCTCTCTTTCACATGCATAGAAGGATCATGTGATGATCTTCCTGCTGGTATGTTCGCAGCCAGATGGCATGCATCAACATCTTGTGTCCTGATCACTCTTCTGGCTGTGCATGAAGTGAATTGACCATAAATGTGACGAGACATGTCAGGATGACTGGATAGTAACAGTGTTGCATGTTCATGTTGTGCTCTTCATTCTGCCACTGGATCAATGTCACAAATCCAAGAGCTCTGGCAGATTTAAATTGCCTGTGGATACTATTAGCCCTGATCCTCATTATTACATAGCTTCTAGAAATGGTCTCACCACCAGTCTTGTTGTGGAACACAATACACCAGATCTGAGAAACTCGCAACTGGCACATCTGCGAACACATCTTCCACATTAGCCAGTGGGACTTGTGCCTCAATCTGTGCATGTACATTGTTATGCCATGCTGCATCTGTGAAGACACTATACAATTTCCCAAGAAACTCATTGTATGTGTACTTTGACTTCTTTATCAGATTAACTGCTGTAATGAACTTGGCATTATTGCTTGCCCACATGTCATAGGTAAGGCATTTATCGGTTGTGTATATCTGGACAAAGGTTGCATTGAATTGTCCAAGCAGTGTGGTATGTGTTGTGATGTGACATCCTGCAACAGAGGTGAGGTGTGCACATGTATCCCATTTGTAATTGTAGTAACCAAAATGCATCCACTTGTCAGCTTCAGTCTGATGCATTTGCAGTAGTCTCTGTAGCATGACTGCATGGCTGTCAGAGTGCCACATAACTGCTCCCTCTTTCACAGACAGTTCAAGTGCAACATCAACAAAGACATCATCACCAGGAGTACTGAACATGTCAGCACTGAATACATGGTCCTGGCACAGGAAGTATTCTCACTCAGTTGCATTGCTTGAGTCATGCACTGTCAATGCCTTGATTCCTCACCACTGAAGCAAAAAATGATGTCCGATCCCCCATCCATCTGAATGGCACTCCAGTCATTCACTAAAATCTCCTAGCAATTGCTCCACATATTCACTAGAGATCAACTCCATTAGCTTTCTTGTCTGATGACTCTGCCCACTTCCTGCCTGAAACAATTTTGAACTGTAGGTAGCAGGAAGATGAGCCACTGTCATATCCTGATAATGTACTGCTGATTGGATGAATATTTCATAGAGCACAGCATACTCCTGGATGGAAACTGAAGGGGTTCCCTCATGCTGTTTGAGATTTCGAACCAAATTCAGTAGCAGGATATATAACAATGCATGATGGGTGAATTTGGCAAGGAAGACATTTGGAACACATCCTGGATCCATGGGATTTGTTGTGAGCTACATATGATCAGCTTTAGCATAGACTTTGACATTTAGATGATAAATGCTATCTCACCATTCTGTGGATTGACAATTTTGAAAGGTGCTTGGATATTAATACCACCTTGCATTGACATCATTGGCTGATATATAGTAGCAAACTCAATCAGCATTCCCAGATCTGAAACACAATCACAGATTGCAATAACTGAGTCATAGTCTCTTGTCAATGTCACTTTTGGTTCTGGCAGGTCAGCACCAGCCATGGTGAGATTGATGTAATGATCCTTGCTATATTCCTCACACAATACATAGCAGAGATACTTTCCATGATATGCGATGCTCCTTGTTGAAACATTCTGATGCATCCATAGTTGACTACATTCTTGAACAAACTCTCCCAATGTGACATCTCTTGATATGTGGACACCCCGAATGTGAATGTTATTCCCATCAACATCATTATCTAGATCCCATTCTCCATGTCTGATTTCTCCTTGTCAATGGTGCAGAGGTCCATCATCCTCATCACTAGAGGCTAGCCCAAGGGTGCTTTGATGGGATGACTAATGAGCCTCATCCTCTTTATCCCTCTGTTCCAGATGGCAATGACATCTCTGATGATGATCCTCCTTATCACTAGCAGTGATTTTGGGGTGCCAGCTTCGATGGGATGATCCATGAGCATCATTCTCTTCATCTCTCTGTTCTAGATGTCGATGATGTCATTGATGATGATCATGAATATGGGTGGACTCAGGGCACCTGCTTTGATGAGATATCCAGTGTCTAATGGCACCAACAGAAGAAGGTGTCCAGGATACTAGATGCTTGATTAGACCAATGGCTACTTTCCAGTGATATGCATATCATCATGATGTTGATCCTCATTATTGTACTCATCCTCTTCTTCTTCTTCTGCTCCTGCTTCTTCTGCTCCTTCTGCTTCTTTCTGGTCTTCATTGTCAGTGAACAAGCTACTTGTATATCCTGATCCCTGAAAGAAACTGTCATCATCTTGGTCAGAGTTCATGCTAAAGAGGAAAAGTAGGTGGGTGATATCACTGTTTGCATCTACTTTATACTAACAAAGCAGAGTGCCACATGAAAAATTTCTCTATTTGTCTGAAGACATTCAGCTGGACATGACATTGACAGCACAATTTCTTGTCATGTCAAATTCTTTGTAATGCAAAAAAAATTGTATGGGACCACAAAGTGCAGGGGACCCATCCTTTTCAGTCCCAGGATATTTTCACCAATTGTCACTTGTATATTTAGTGACATAAAATGTATACATTACAAAAATGTGTCATACTAACTGCAATATGAAACTATATAAAATTGTTCTTGAAAAAATGTGTTGAACTGCCAATGAAGCAATGTCAAGAAAGCCACCCACAAATGACCTCAATGCCTCTATGCCAATTCTTGCATATTAAGCCTGAATGATCCATTCCATTCAATTATGAAATTCACCTGCAGAGTCTGTGGAGCTGCATTAGCAGTATCCTTTGACCTGGCTGCTTGAGATCATGTTCTTGACATTCCTCTCATTCCTCTTCTCTGTGATGACTCTGGAATTCCTGACTGAGTATTCAACTTACCTGTTGGTGCAGTTGAAATAGATTTCTTCTTGCCAGGCAATGGGGTTGGTGTCGACAGAGATGAGGGGGCATTGGAAGACAGAGGAGTTAGGTTATTGAAGTCAAGAAGATCATCAAGAGGTTGTGAAGCACCACCACTAGCAGTGCCCCCATCGCTTTCTATCTCATCATTGCTAATTGGTTCATTAGCATCTGGTGTCAAGATAATATTGCTGGAGGGGGCAGTCATGGCAGTCATTCCATGCCCTGGTGGTGGTATAACTGCAGGGGTGGAGGAAGGGATGACAGGATGAGGAAGAGGGGATGATGGAGCTGAGAGGGCTGAGGGCTGAGATTCACATTGAGTGGGTTGTGCATTACCCTCCTCAATGGCATTCTGTGGTGTGCTTGGTGCTGGCTTTGTGATAGGCTTAGGCTTGGGCTTTGACTGGGTATTCAATGGTCCAGCCTTTGACAGTTCAGCCTCATCTATGGATCCTCTCTGCATCATCATCTGTACCTTGGTGGCAGGAGCTCCCTCCCTGTTTCCATCCTCTGGCACCTTCTTTGGCACTTTACAATGATGGTGGGATTCATCGATAACATCTACTTCCTTTGTTTTCACCGTTTTCTTGCTATTTGTCTTGTGTTTTTTTGCAGGAGGCTGTTCAATGGCACTTTTCTGGGTGCTCTCATCATCATCGTTATCGCTTTCTCCATCAGCTGCAGCAGGAGCATCTGCTGGTACATCACAATTGTACAGCAGCCGGAATGCCTCTGCAAAAATATGAATAAACCATCATTATCCAAAAGTAAAAAAGACCTACTCCTGTTTCGACAGACATTAAAATCAGGCTTCTTGAAGAAATGCTGAAGCTGCTGGGCTTTTGAACCAGAGTGTTGAGCCATCAAGACATCAAAAGTGTCTGTCACAATAAGGCAAAAGATGTAAATGGTTTCCTTTTGCCCATGATGATGGGCATGACCAATCATCTGTTCTTCTTGAATGGCAGTCCAAGCAATATCCTGTGGGATCTGAGTCAGTGAATGTCAACTAGCAATGATGCTGAAACTTACAAACAGGATGATGACAGGAGCTCTCATCAGGTTAAGCCCAGAGCTACCTATCTGGCTGAGGAGAAGCACATGAACATCTGAATCGGGATGAAGGAATTTCTCAACCACCTGTTCATATGCTGTGAGCCTCATGGAGCCATTCAGTGACAAGATTTTAATGCCATTCATAATAAAGGCCTGAACAAAATGAGTATGCAAATAACAAGAAGAAAGATTCAAATTACATACTGACATGATGAGTTCATCCATCATAGAGAGCTCATGAAAGATAAGGATCTTTATCTGCTGAGTCCTCTTCTTCTTATCACCGGTTGCCATTGCAGGAGGATCAGGGAAAATGAGGTAACCATCTTCAATATATGGTGGAGACACATTGTCATCAGACAAATAGTGCCTGCACAATCTCAATGTTGCCTTGAGCTCTGCTCCTGAATACTTTTCCCACTCTTCAAGACTTTTGAATGGTGGAAATATTTTCTTGCTGGATTTTGACAGATAGTCAGGATCATGTTGAGATTGCAGATATGCTACCGCAAGCCAATAATTGAGCAAAAATGCCTAAGAGAAAAATGAGCAAAATGGCAAAATTGGTAATGTACTGTGAAGCAGAAGGGCTTCCTGTGATCACACAATAACTTACCCCAGCATCCATGACATCAACAGCTCCATGTGTCTTTGAACTAGAAGAAGAGTGCATCAGATCCATGATCCTGGTACAATTTTTTTCTGTACTCACTCGCTGCTCCACTTTGACATCTGGTTGTCCATCTCCTATTTCTCAGCATCTGCCATACTTACCATCACTTCAATCTTTTCATATGGTGGGAGTTCATTCAACAGCATGATAGGCTTGTCAGCTGGGAGGTCAGTGTACTTGATTGATGTTACTGCCTGTCAAATGATACATCCTTCATAGTGAGCCTGAATGTCAATGACTCAGTCATTGTTAGCATTGTACACCTCTTTGTATGGATTTCTACCATCAATGCCCTTCAAGGCATTCATGTTGAACACAGCAAGAGCATCATCATTGCCATTGTTGCCCTTGGTGACATCCCTCCACATCTTTGACAGCTCTCTGACTTTCTCCTTCTCGAGTGATTCAGCTGCCTTACCTATGAATGCCTTCAAATAAATAAGTCTTGCGAGGTTGCATAGGTCCTGATATTATAATGAGAAAGAAGCAAGAATCAGAATCAGAATGAAAACTGCAAAAAAGGCATACATGAGGTGACTGGTACAGTGGAGTTGCCAATACAATTAGGCGCATGCAGGTATTTTCCATAATTCTATTCATGCCATGGTAGACAGCATTTGGTGTCTGGAAGTTGTATGCTTCATCAATGATGACACTGCAGAAACTCCTTGACCATATCAGCTCATAACCCAATGAATTTGTCTTAGCAGGATGCAGAGACAACACCAATTCAGTCTTAGACTTTGTGATCCACAAATTGCAATGTGCTAACTGACTGACACTCTGAAACCCATTTGAAATTCATTATCAGTGAGCTAAACCAGAGTGAATAACCCAATGCTTACACTATGGCTTGCAATGATCACAATGTTGCATTTGTCCTGCTTTGATGAATCAACAGCCTTGTTGAACTCGTCCCATCTCTGCTCCATCATTGGCATTACAAAAATGTCAATGACATGAAGATGGAACCACCATTTCAACTTGCCCATGATCTGCTCTATAATGATCCCAGGGACCAAAATGAGATGTGGCACATCAGGAATCTGTTTATGACCACAGAAATATGGTAATTGTGCTGGAATATTATAGTTAATACTGAATGTATGAGACCATGAAATGAGAGGACTCTCTACTCAGGCCATACTCACCAAGCACTGGGGGAAGTTTCTTGCTGAGCTTCTGTGCCTGATAGCATGACATTATAAATACCAGCAATCCCATCATTTGGGCAGTCTTGCCCAGACCCATCTCATCAGCAAGGAGGATTCCTGGGATACCATCATCATCCAATTTTGTCATCCATAGCATGTTCACCATTGCTGTTATACCAACAATTTGATGCCACATGATGTTCATCACCTCATTGTCTTCATCACCACCAGGAGGAATCTTGGCGGCATAGTCAGGGTTTTCCCAGTAATCAGTGAGGGAAGTGTTAATGAATGAGTTAAATTTATCAGGATGGCCATTGTCCCATTGAAGCATTTCAGCAAGCACCTTATCAGTAGTTTTTTACCAAGACTCTACCCTCAGATCCCCACATTCCTTCTATTTCTCCCACTCAATAAGATCAGGGTGTGAAGGAAGGCTCAGATTGATGTCGATGTCATATTGTTCAGCCTCCTCCCTATTGCATGTGCTTTCAATGCTCTTGAGCCAAGAAGCAAGGTCCTCATGGAGTGCTGCTATTTCCTCTTCAGTGGCCATAACAGCGATTCTTCGATTCATCATATGTCCAAGGATGTCTGCAACATATGTCAGATATGCAGAGCACTGCATAAAATAAGGGACTTACACTCTGAACTCTTTTTGTTTTTCTTTAACTCCTCCTCCTGAGCTTCTGCCTTCAAAAGCACCTGTTCAAACTCACCCTTTCTCTGCTCATATTCTGCCAATGCAGCCTTATCCTGCTCTATTGCCTCCCAACCAATGTACTTCTCATATTTCTTGAGAGTGTTTGAGATCTTCTTTGCATCTTTCAGGTTAATTTGGCCATTGCCAGATTCAAACACTGACAAAGTTAGTAGGAAACAAAATAGATATAAAGAGTACACACATTTCCACATGGCATCAAGTTCCCCCTTCACCTCAAGTCTGCATGTTTCTGCCTGGCAGTGATTCTTGCACTGATGTTCACTGTAGCCCAATATCAATGAGTGGATGAGTTGCTGGAACTCCTCTCACATACAACCTGACTCATTATCCTCAAATGCTCTGCCAAACATGCTTTCTGCAATCTCTGCCTCCTTTGATCCAAACATCATAAGCATGATGAATTTTGCATTCTCTTTCTTTGCAGCTACCCAATACATTGCCTTGATGTTGATACTAGCATGAAGAATAGCATGGTTGTGCATGATTCTGAGCTTCAACACCATGCACGATTTTGACCACTAGTGGTGGTATGTGGTATGGCCTTGGAGAAATGCATTGGCACCCTTTGTATTGACATAAGTTATAGCCTCATCCAAGGGGAGATTTCTGATGTGCTTCAGAAACTCATGGACTGCAGAGAGCTCTTCATTTTTTACATTTGAGATGTGATCCACATCAAATCCAGGGAATCCAAATTGCTGCTGCCATGCTTCCTCATCAAAGAGGTCAGAATATGAGGCAAAAATGGCAGCAAATAGAGTGCAAGATTTCTGTACAATGCGAGGCATTTTGAAGATGAGCAGTGGTGCTGAATGGCAGAGTGAGAATCAACTTTTTTATGGGGGGAAAGAAAGAATAAAACATATGTGATGCCCATGCCCTATATATGTGATGCCCATGCTCTATATATATGATGCTGTGGCATATGAAGCTGATGCTGATGGCAGGGTTTACCTCATAGAGGTTAAATTTTTTTTTCTTTGATTTTAGATGCATCAACATCAAAGATCAATATCGAGACATCTGAAAACATATTTGATAAAAAGCATAATTAACCATACTTGGGTATATGTACCTCCTTATCCAGCTTCTTCTTTTCCAGAAACCCAATCAATCAATGACTGCAGTTACCGCAGTTTTTTGAAAAAATATTCAGGGAAAAGATTCAGACATGTTCAGTAATTATCAAGATAGAACATATTCAAAAAAATAATTGTATGCCTGAATACATCAGGGGAAACTGAATTTCACTACCATATATTTAATGCAATTATAGCTTTGATTGCACAAATTACTTTTTGGCTGTTGTGCCATGCACCCTGCCAAATGTTCAATCATATCACACAGCCACTCAATGATCTTTTATCTGATTGATTGATTTCATCATCAATTGATAGCCAGCAGCATCAATATCAACATGCCACAGGCACTTAATATCATTTGATTGTGATTCTCTACTTCTGCATTTGCTCCCCCACCTCTTGTGCTCAACGTCTATTCCCACTCTCTGGCATGATCCACATGTCTTCCATCTCCCCTGCCAGCTGATCACAATCTCTGACCTCGACACTAAATCCACACCATGAAGATTGACCTTTGGATGAACTGGAGTGTTGCTCAGAGACAAAGCAATGCATAATTGGTGACATTCAAGTCAGATCTGATGGAATGTGTAAGGGTGCAAGAGCAGGAGGTCAGAGTGCAGTTGGGGTATATGCCGATGGATTGGACAATCTGGGGCATGAGTTCAGGAATTAGAGTGTGGGCAATCCACTGCATGGTCAGCAGTACTGGCAACCATTTGCCCTGTGGGCAAATGCAATGGGAGGATCACACTGGAAGAACAACTACTCAGTACAAACTCCACTGGCTGGGAGATGAGATGCTGTAACATGAGTTTCATCATTCTACAGAACCAAATTACCTCTGATGTTTCACAGGAGCACAGAACACTTTCTTTTGATGACACAACCATAGCTGTTCATTTCTTCTTGATAATCACCATGTTCTTTTGTACTTAGCATTGTTATATTCTTGTAGCATACTTGCTGACCACATATCTTGACAATGTAGACTTCCATACCATACTATAGTCATTGCTATATCTAGTGTACATTGATTCTGTTACATGCATGCCACCAGCCTCCATGTCACCTCAACCAACCACGAATTCTATCACACTATCCACTGGACTCCAGCTGCTTCCCATTACCTACTAATTTCATTTCACCATTATCATTTCACATCTGTATTTCACATTGTAATACCTAGACCCTGAACTCAGTAGCAAATATTCACACCAGAACCCAATGGAACCCGACTCAGAATTAGCTACCATTAGTATATAAAGCCATGTATATCACCATAACTACTCAGTTCGAATATCAACTTGGATAAGCCACCCACACTTTGCACTCACTTCAACTCCTCACTACCTTGTCCATCAGATTCTGCTCCAAAGGATATTCTGGTTCACTTCTCTGATGAATCTCTGTCCTGTCCATCCAGATCCTTGAGCCCCGACTCAAGGGTGACATTGCCAATAGCTTCGTCGATGCCCACGCACTCTGCCGGACTCTGTGAGTGCACTCAAGCCCACTCAATTGGCATGTTCCTAACAGATTCCCAAAATGTAAAATAAATCTGTAGCATACTGAATGTTATTTTATACCCAAGATTTATTAATGAGGGCCATATTCTGCTCTCCATGTGAAAATTGGTGATTTACCACAGAGTGGATGCGAGCCCTATGCTGTTTCTAAATGACAAGAATGGCCATATTTCAAAATTTGGTAATGTACTGCAGAGTGGATGCAAGCCCTACATAGATTCCAAAGCACAAGAATGGCTATATTTTGAGATTCAGTCATATACCACAAATGGAATGTGCTCCCTACTCCATCCCAGAATGGAAATAGTGCATAATATAAAAAATTGATGATGGACTGCAAAATTGTACAGCTCCCTAGTCACTGCTGCAGTCCATTGGTATTTTTGGCAAGTCAAATACCTTGAAGTATTTGGTGGATTTATTGGGTAAATCCACAGTGTTGGAATACAAGCTGAGCTGAATGTTGGCATAAAGCAAACTTGATGGATTGATGGATTAGTATGCAGATATGATAACTAGGTCCAACCAGTGTTGTACTCTCTTGTACTCTTGAGCACAGCTCCATTTGCTTCCATAGCAATTATTCCCTCAATACTTATATATCTATGATACTTGATACTTAGCTATGTTATAGACTATGCATTTTCATTTAAATATGACTGTATTCTGGCATATTGAATACAATCTTCATTCATTCTACTTGTGCTCAAGTGCTCACTCTAACAACGATTTCAATACATTATAGGTCCTGACCATACCTAAAAATCCATTGAAGCACACTCTAGTATTATCTTGTCTTGCTGATAAACACTGGTCATTTATTAATTCTATCTATACACAAAAACTCAAACCACCATTCCCAATCATGTCCTTGCAAGTCTCACCCATGATGTCTGACTGGCCATAAACAAAGACCAACCCAGAATGTCCGATACATCGATATTGAGCTAATATATGTCTCAACTTGCAATCCATAACCATTAGTATCCATCTAGGCTTGTGGAATTGTAACACTGTTGGTGTCTACTCTAGAGGAGTTGTGGAAGGCAATGGTGGTCATAGTGATGAGAATAACTGTGTCAGTTAGCAATTCTTTTTATCTTTTCATCCATCCTGACTTTGGATCATTATAATACAATCTTCCTCTGGAGTATCCACCCCACAAACAACAAGGGATATGCTCAGTTCAAGATGTATTTCTGAGAATATCTCTTCCCTATCTACTCCTCTCCTTCATAGACTGACAGCTCCTCAAGGACAGTGCTATGGGTAGACTAATGACATCCATATCATATTCCATGCTAATGGCACACTTTGCATAGGAGGAACCCAACATATTGGTAAGTCTTACTATATTGCTTCCTCTTTCATCCGATCACTAAACAACACACAGGCCAAGCATTCTTTGACCAAGACCTCACCACTGCCATTGAGGAGACCTCTCCTTACAACACCAAGACCACTGAAGTCAAAGAAAATGCCAATGACTATGCATTTGGTGATGACCTCTAAGGTGGTCTCCTTCTGTGAGTGTCTATCATCATCTTCTATGTTCTCTGTTATTGATGCTTCTGGCACAGCTGGGCTACAGTCTGTGCAGACTGTACAGCTAGCTTCGAGTCTTCTCCTGATGGTTATCTTACTGAAGCTAGAGGTATTGCAGTAATAGTTCTGACACTGGTGTTTTCTTATGAAGGAGGAAATAGCATCATTACCAACATGATCAACAGTGGGAATGTGATGACACTGATGCCAAGAGAAGCACTACTTCAGTCCAGTTGCTCCTAGGATGATGGTAATATCAGTGTGTCACTCTATTTCTAATATGAATAACACCACTGTTGTGTGGTATTTCCTGAGCACTGGATTCTGCAACAAGGTTAGTACATTCAACCTGACCACTTTCCGTTACTAAAATGACTCTAATACTTCAAGTACATTAGCAGAATGGGTGGCCCCACCTTGATTACCACCAGGGCAGACTTCCAGACTGTTCCACTCATAATAACCATGCAAGTTCATGAGAGCCAAAACAGCCAAAAGAGATCATCAGCTTACAAGTCTTTATGCATCCCAGCAAAGTACTGCATGGATATTCAAAATTCAGTGCTGAGAAGAGATTCCATGTGAAGCACATAGCTCACTGCACTGGACACATTGCTCTGCATGGAGATTTGATTAGAGAATATTCTCCTGCAAGGCTATACTATGCTCACTTGGTCCAAATTTTTGATGAAATATCCCAGCTTCCAGAGTGTCAGAATCCTCTGTGAGCATAGAGGAAATGATGGACCGAAGCAAATATTAGGACCGACATGTCAATTTTGAACAAGAGACATCTCTCTGCAGAATATGATGAAGGCACCAGATGCTAAAAGATTGACTTTTTATGCTTGTCACTGTCAATCACTTCAGGTATGGATCCTACCAAGGTAGCATTTGAAGCCATGTCGACCTGCTGAATGGAGTGTCCTTTGTTGTTCATTTTATACTCCCCCACAACCGATAGCCACTTTTGTGCCCCTGCTAATTTCATAGTTCTGGTTGCTTCTATAGTGAGAGAGTGCACTGCTGAGAAGACTTATTTCTGTTTAACCTGGGGCTCATAGAATAGCTTTACATATCCTTTGAATGTCTTTCAAACAAGTCCTGGATATTGCAGTGAGCACATCCCTGTACAAATAGCAAGTTGGCTGCCATGGCCCTCTCAAAGCACTACCACAAAAACCAAGAGAAAGAGAGCATAAAGTCCTGAAAATAATTAAATCCCCCAAGTAATAGCTCATATTTATTGGGTTTTAAAGATGAAGAAAACAGGCTGGCAATCACCTGGTGCCACAAAAAAAAACACTCACCATCGACTCAAGCTAGCCAACTTGGAATTCTGCAGCATTACTTCCGCATTACAAACTAGAAGTAGACCATTACTCTTGGTTCATGCTGTGATGAACTTTGTTTTCAAAGCTCAACAATACAGAAAGCATCTACCAAAGTAGCTGGATGTCAAGAAGTCAAAAGGGCAACCCAAGATGGGTTTGTCAGTATTGATCAGGTGTGTGGCCTGATATCTGGCCTTGGCAAAAGACTCAAATCCTTTCAAGCAACCACCAAAGTCATCAAGACTTGACAGTGAATGATTCAGCAGCTTCATGAGTGCACACTACACAGAAATACAATGATGAAAATTCTTCAATCCTCCAGATGTTTTCTAATGATATCCATGGTATACAGCAGCCTCTGTTTTCGGGGTCTTGCCTCGTTCTTCATTCTGCAGTGTTCATGGATACCCTTCTGAAGCTCTGATGCTAGCTCAGCCATTTCTTGGACTTGACTCTGGGCCAATGCCTGCCTGATCATTACTGTCTGGACTTGTTTATGAGTACATTTGAAGTCAAGGCGGAATCATGGTGTCTTGGGTAGTGTACAGCTTGAAGGTTTATCAAAGCTGGTAAAGTTCACAATGAACAGAGGGAAAGACACTGTTTTCATCTTTATTTAGAATTCTCTGCTGAAGAAATATGTTTCAGTGTAAGTATATCAGTGAATGATGGATGCCTATGTCATATCATATGGGGCCTTTGGTGATCCAGTCTACTTTTACTGCTCATTCACATTGATTTCAACAAGGAGAGGATGGATGATCCAGAAGGGTCTGACTGAAATTGAGTCATGCCCAGCTGAAAAGAAAGTGCAGAAACCAATAGACCTCTTTGCTTATAACAATGGATGTTTAGTCCTATTATCAATTGTTTTCACTGAAAAAAGATTGAAGATGAAATGGCTCTACTGAGGTATAGCATCTACTTGGTGATGCTGTTGGTTCACTATGCCATATTGAACTGTATTCTCTTCAAGTTCTGGGGTTGCTTTGATAAATCGTAGAATGTAGTTGCTAAATTCCAAGTCAATAAATGTTTTGATTGCACTGCTAGTCAACCATGTCTGGCATAGCTTCACACTGTATTCCCTGCAAATTTCGGTCATTTATTGGTATTTCTGCAACCATCAAGGAAGTAATTTCTGGTATGTTTTCTGCAGCCCTCATCAATGCCATTGTCGATGAAACATCAGGGAGTTCTAGGAAGGGCCTGCTTATTTGGCCCCCAAGTATCTGTGGTGCACTGCCATAGAATACTACTTCTGATTGCATATCATCAGGTGTGTACCAGATTCATCCATTGTGCTACATGACAATGAGATTTACCTAGCAGCACTTTATCTCATGTTATTACAAGACTACCAATGAAAGCAAAGGAGAACTCTTGTGTCAAATCAAATACATGGGCTATCATAGAAGTACTATAAGGACCAAAATGTGAGTATATTTCCACAGTGATTGAGTGCCTCTTTTATGAACAAATGAAACAAAGAGGACCTGCAGATAACAACAGAGTGGGAAACTAACTTGTTGGATATCTTGAGGTCATAGTGATGCCAAGGTAATATACTGCCATAGCTCTTTATTCTTTATATAACAATAACAGCTCTGCAGGTCCCAAATATATAGTACTTAGACTGAGCATCACAATCTCCCCACAGAAGAATTTGCAGTCTGAATTTACCAAGCATCCAGCACAGAACTCGAAATTGCATTCTCGATACCAATACACTAATTCCAGTGGCATATCCAGTTACCCAGATTATACTCAACATTCCCAAGAGAGATGTCACACCCACATCCCAAACACACCATCTTGTCTCGTTCAACCCTATCTGCATCAACCCAAGGCTCACACCTGAGGAAAAGTCACCTCTGCTCCATATTGTTTTGGCTGAACCAATAAAGTGGGCTCTCAAACATTTTCAGGAAGCTCACTTCAGGACTGTTCTACGACACCAGGAACATCTCTTTCTGATATATGCTGAGTACTCATGTGGGCAGGCTGTGATAAGATGAGCTCTAGCTTGGACTCTGTGAAGAGACACTGACCAAGATCCTTGGGGTTGCAGTTGGAATGGTAATTCTTTGTGGACAGTGATCATCATTTGGACAGGGTAGGAGAATTGCCACCTGCACCTTCTGCAGTGACAATGGCATGAGCAGCTCATTTATCTCGATGGTGCACTCCAGCCTGAAGGTGACCATAAGGTAGAAGATATTTTGGGAACAGGTGCTTGAATCTGAACATTCATGGCTGCTCTATATGCTGGTGCCAAATGATTCATGAAAGATATTGAGGAATTCACAGGGACAAGCTGCCTTGCACTAGATTGGTAAGAAGTAGGATAGCCTAGTCTGTTCATTGTGGAAGGAGATGTGGGAATGGATGCAGTGGGTGACTATCATAGTCCGGATTGCTTTTAAGTAGGTCTGTGCAGAGGGACAAAGCCAGACAATGAATGGTGGCACCCAGACTTGTCTTTGTTGCATGCCTCAGACTTGCCTCCCCTGTCTTTGCCCTCCCACATGCTTTGGCAAAAATATTGTCAAGTAGATGAGTGCACAGCATGAGATAACAGCTCATAGAGCAATGTCCTAATCTTCAGGAATGCAATATTCTTTGGCTCTCTTTGTGATCATCCAGGAATAGTTTTATCTGCACTTATCTGCACTCATGAAGGATGCCACCCTTAGTGTTTGTTGTCAGCTGGTGCCAATGGCAGTCAAAATTAGCATGGTCAGATATAAAAAGAGCATGGCTGACAGAAAGAGAACATTCTCTGCAAGGAAGGCATTTGATGTCTCTGTGAGTTCTCTGTTTGAATAAGGGATGGTGGGAAAATACCAGACATAGTATGCTCATTGTCAGGTATAGAGGCCGGTTTTGACTCTGAGGACAAGGATAGCATGGTATGGTTGATGCACCCTTGAATGTTAGACACAGTATTGATGTCTATGTCAAACTGCCTACTGCATGATTGAATTGGAGCTAGAAAGATAGTCAAACCTAAACATACTAACCACACACTTTCTCACTGGTACTCTCAGCCGTATGGCTGCTGGCAGTCAAGAAGGGAGGTGAGGAAGGTGATGTTGTAGTTGGGGTCCAAAAAAGAGACATTATATCCTGTAGATAGGATTGGTAATGGCAGTCTTGAAAGGTGTGTGAGTCAGAGAGACTATTATTCTGTTCATGTGTCCATAACATGTCACATCTATGTCCTTTTCTTGATGACATTGATCAATGTCTTGTCTGTCATAGCACCGACAGGAGTTTCCAGGGTGCATATAACTTAAAAGAAGGATATGTTGGTCATGGGATGACAGAGAGAGTGGCTTATCATTTTGGCAAGTTGCAGAAAATGTTGGCTGACAGTGAGACAATAGACAATTCCTTGTGGCCAAAGATACCTTGCTGAGTTTGAGAAGATGGGTGTTGATTTCATCTGGAAGTTTCATATGAGGATCGACTCCATCTCACAAGCATAGACCTTACCAGTCACAATGCTATCAATGAGGATAAGAAGGATGAGATATCCAGACAGCTGTGTAAACTATGGTCTGGCACTGGTGAAATCCCTCAGAAGGCTGCCACCATGCTACCACCAATGTGTCACCACAAATGTGAAACATAAGAGGGAGAGGCTATGCAGTAAATTATTCATGTCTTATCAGGGAATTATCTCTCTTCCTTAAGACTCCATCCTTATCCATGGTCACAGAGAAGAGAAGTATTAAGAGTAATATCTGAAAGTCATAGGGATGGGTTAATATTGTAATGAGAAATTTGGTGCTTGAAGATGCTGGTCTGTGACTGAATGATAAAATACCCTAGGTAGTCTGTATTCAATTGTCCTGTCTGTGGAGATGTTTAAGTTAAAGTGGTGTGGAAGGAAATCTGACACATACCTTTGCAGAAGCATGGCTTGGACCATTAGCTTCAGAAGCATACCTATCCAAACATTGATAACTTTTGCCCAAAGATGCATGCCTTTCCAATTTCCCTTGAGAACATGGTCCTCAACATGCTATGGGTGTGCAGGAGAAAGGCTGTACCTTTGTTCCAATGAATGATGACATGAAGGATGGCAGTGTGAACTCAGATGATATAGGCTTGAAGAAAATCAGATAGTCAGTGATCTACTGGAAGAAAACGAGTTCAAAATAAAGCAGCCAGCATGATAAACATTCTGTGTATTGTGATGTTTCTTTGAAAGTCATGGTGGGCTGAATATAGCCAATGGCTCTTGTTGTGTTTGCCACACACACCTAAACTATGTCTTCTCTATTAGTATTGTCACCTTCCTTGGCTTTATTATCACTGCTGCAATATACCTACCTTCAATTAAATCATAAGCCTTGCAAAAACATGCTGCAATGATGTAAAACACATTGTGCTGTGGAGATCCTGGTAGTTGCATCTCTCAAATTCAATAAGATCCTTGACAAGAATTATCGGTCTCTATTCAATTCATACTGGGGTCATGAACCTCAAGAAGACCCAAGAAGAGATGGTCACATTTGGAGGACCTTTGTTCCCTATAGAGTTGAGTGGAAGTGGTGCATATTACGACTTTCTTCTACTAGCAATACTATGCTAAGCATAACCCATTACAGAACTGAAACTGACCACAACTGCCAGCTCTGGTCACCAATATTTCTGTCCCATCCTTGTACCAAAATTTCCTCACCCTTCGTTCTCTCCCCTCATTGCCTTCCAAGTATGAAATTACACTAAATCAATGGATTTTGATAAGAAATCCTAGTGCTGCCATCTGGCCTTGGGAATTGACATGGAGATCATCGCTGTTCATGCTGGGGGTCCCACAGGGAGAATCAGGGCTTAGGGTTAGGGTTAGGGTTAGGACGGTGTACCCCCTTCGGCGAAGCCGTTGGGGGTACACAGTATGAGTAAAGAAATACTCACCTCAAAAGTGTTGAGGATTGCGGTATTGCTTGTTAAAGCGAATCAAGGTCCAACAGAGGGATGGGGTCACCATCTCTCACCCTGTTTCGCTTTTATAGCTCTTCAGGGACCTGATTCATAAGCAAATGACGCAAATGAGAGGTTTTGGCGGACCAATCATTTTCGCTTTATCAGCAATCACGCAATCCGCAGCACAAATGAGGTGATACGGTTAGTAATTAAGGTACGAAGTCGTACCATTTATTATTCATACTTACTTACTCAGCGGCTTCTATTTAACCGGTTAGTCATACCATCTGACTAATTTTACCGTTTTACCGTCGGCTACTAAGTTAACCGGGCCCGAAGGCCGAGAACCTAGCCGGCCGTTCGCCGGTCCGGTGGCCGAGTCTAGAACGTCGGACCGTTAGGTCCGGGTTAAGGTTCGGGTTAATCCGGTTAGGGTTTGGGGCTGAGTAAGCATTAATTAGTATGGTTCATTAATGCGTGACTGCGTCAACGATTAAGTTGACAGAACTTACTTAGGGTTAGGGTTAGTCCGCTGGCAGACTGCCTGCCATTAGTTTCCGAGCTTTGGAAACCAGTAAGTTCCTAATAAAGGGCGTCAATAATTTATATAGCGGAAGAATGTACATTATGGTTATAAGTGGGTACGTACCCGACTTGATTTAACTGTTACCCCCGGCGGATTTTTATAACAGTCCAACTACTTGCGACCGTCCTGCATTTATAACCGGGATAAACCGCACTGTCCACAAGTCTGCTGTTTCGATCCGAAGACCTAGCAGAGTCGCATCAGGATGTGCCCATAACCATATCTATGAAGACCTGCGGATCAACGCTGCTTCTGTCAGAATCGTCGCCAGCAGCAGACGAATCAGAAGGTGGAACGTTTTGATCCGAGGATAGAGAATCTTCATCGTACTTACGGAGAACCATCTTTTTCCAAAGACTGGTCATGTCGAACAGATTTTTAGTACGTTTTTTACTAACTATCGTTCGTCTATTGAGGATACCAATTGTTCTTATATCCAGCATGCCACGAGGGCCTGCCGGGGTTTCAACAGCCATCAAAAGACGGTTGTCTACCTCCGACGGTGGTATGTCTCCATACATCACCGACATATTATTCGGCGCAGTGCCGAGGCGCTCGATTCTTTCGACTCGATCGCGCCAGGTACCCAGGATGATATCTCCGAGTTCTTTCGCTTTGAAATAATTCCACGCGGTATTATATGTGGACTTAAGTACTAAAACGCCGCTGTCATCTCCCCGCTGGGCAGCTACGCCCAATCGATCTGACCATCGTTTAGCAATATTATCTTTCATCCATTTATACACGTAATCCGCAGGATAGCCGCGTGCAATGTATAAAGCATTTAAACTTTTAATAGCATCTTTGTAGTGCTCATGTTTACTACTTAACACAGCTAACCTGGACATCTCACCAATAAAGGTACCGCGTTTAACGTCAAGCGGATGATGGGATATCCATGGAATTCTTTCTTGGTGGGAGCGAGCTTTCCGATAAGGCATGTGTTGTATCGTGTTATTAGCATCGATATATACAGTCATGTCCAGGAACGCGAGATGTGAGGGACTCGCTTCCCACTCTATTCTACAGCCGTCGAAGGCCACCGTTTGCAACTGCGCTAATGCTTCTCTTTCGTCATTAGCGTAAACAATGGCTAGACAGTCATCAATGTACCTTCCATAGAAAGGAACATTGGCGGTAAATTCTAATTGACGCTCGAAGTACCAGCCATAAAGGTTAGCAAGATCGGGCGAATCGGCAACGCCCATTGCAAGGCCGTTCCGTTGTTCAAAAAATAAATCATTATACTGTAGAACCAAATTCTTATTACCGACCGATAGACATTTGAGGAAAATCTGTTCTCGTCTAAGAGAATCCTCGTCGCCTTCTGTACCGTAATACTCTCCGTATAGATGAGTAATTACATCTAGACACCTTTGGATTGGTATATTCGGATAAAAAGCGACTACGTCACCCGTAACAATATAAATTTTACGAGTTCGATCTAGTTGAATTTGACTTAATTTTATCGCCAAGTCTTTAGATCCATGCAAAATGGTTGGCGCCGATTGGACAATCGGTTTAAGAATTTTAGACACATATTTAGCTGCCGGATTCTGGATGGCGGAGTGGCATGGTATTATTGGCCGCATTTTAACAGGCTCCTTGTGAATTTTAGGAATACCGTAAAATGTAGGCACCACGTGTTGTGCTCCTGGCGAAGTAATTTTCGACCGGAAATATTTCCCTAATTGGAATCCGTTAGGAAGGTAGGCTTCAGCTAGCCCCGCAATTTCTTCCATGTCTGTGCATTGTTTATCGCATATCGCATTAATCATTAATAAATGTAACGGTGTATAATTACTACTATCGTTAACGATATCGAGCGACTTCTCTATAATCCACTGGCGCGTAGATACAGCTATGCCCAGATTCTTGTCTGTGTTCGTAACCAAGTAATTGTTACGATCCAAGAATTTTTGAATCTGGCTCGGTTTAGGGGCGAGCGCCGTAAGAGGCCCGTCCGATTCCGCTGGGATATTGGCGATCGTGTCGAACACGAAGCGCTCTCCCGCAGCGATGC